ATATATATATATATATATATATATATATATATATATTTATATTAATTTCTTTCATTTCAACAAACTGGTCCAGAAAAAACCTCTCCAATCTGGCCTAACCTCACCAAGCTGTGAGGAGCAAGACAAGATAGAATCTCCTCTTGTGTTATCATACTGTTAACACTAACATTACGCTATGACAACGTTCTTTTTAGTTTACAAGTGACCTTCACTCTAAATGTGTGTTACACCACTCGCCGATGTTTAACTCGAGAAGTTAAGTGTTCTCCGTGAAGTTGTGCGCCATCCCCCTCAAACACCTGCACATCACATCTCCATCTCTGTTTGTCATAAATGCCACATCCAGACACTTTAATCCTGTCCTGCCTTCTTGCTGTCACTCAGCAGAATAAATGGGCCCCGCGTAGGCATTTCAGCGCCCCCACCTGCACTTCGCTGCACTTTTTTCAAGTGCGAGGTATCTGCCACTGCCAAATGACAGCTACCGTTCAAAATTGTCTATTTTGGAATCACAAGACCTTACGGCGTCGCCACATTTGAGTGCGTTATCATCCGTCATTTATATTTTACTTTAACATTTATCTGGGTTTGTATTTTTTAGTGCAGCAATTAATGTCGCCGTTCTTTGTCCCCTTAAAAGTGTTTTTAACCTCGGTTTTGCTTTGCCCACATCCCACACACCCTCCGCCGCACTCACATAACACTACTTTGCTGTGAGTGTGGCCACCGGTTTATGATGAGGGCTTTTTTTTTTCGCGGTTCATTTTCCACTCTCAAGGGTAAAACAGCAAAGCGTATAAAAGAGAGCAACAGCTGCAGTTCAATGGAGCGCTTTGAAGAACTACATCAAACACAGAGAATCATCTTCCAGCCATTGGCCCCCACAGAAGAGAAAATGAAGGGTGCGTGTGTGTGTGTGTGTGTGTGCGTGTGTGTGTGTGTGCACACGGCCGGCATGTTGGAGAGGTGTGCAGGACTGTTAATCCTTTGGCCTTCCCTCAGTCCCCGCCTCCTGCTCCTCATCACTTGGTTGAGATATCTGGCTGCACATTCTCATCCATATTTAGTTCTTGGATCTCGGTCCGTATTGATCTAGTCCGTTAATCTTGTTTATTTTCTGACCATTCCATGCTGCCTTTTTTCTTGCTCCCATTCTGACCCTCTTTCCCTTATCTCACTTCTGCACACTTCTCTCCACAGCACCTCTCAACTTTAAGCCTTTCCTCTGCTTGCTTGTCCCCATCTTTGTTTGAACTCTCTCCATCCTCATATTTATATATTTTTATTATTGTTAGTTTTGGTAAGTGCTCATTGTTGTGGTCTTCATGCAATTAACATACCCAGCATTGCTTGTCAATCAAAAAAAAAATTTTTCCTTATCATTTTCATTATTTATGTATTTATTTGTCTTACTTTAATGCATCATTTTCTAAATGACCTTTTTTTTCTTTACATTTCTGAGCTCATATGATACGGCATATACCACGTCCATTTTAACACAGATATCCGACACACAGACATAAGAAAATAAAATGACATAAAGTAAACACAGTGTTTCTGGACAAAGCATGAACATTTACAACAGTTTTCATAATTTAGGTATAAGTTGAGCTGTTTGTGCATATAATCATTGTAATAAAGTTAAGTAAAACCTGCAGTTCTATGCTCTGTAGTGTACTATTGATTCTTGTATTCATTATTTAATTGCATCGATCCCTTGTATAGAATATGCATTATACTCTGCCTTTTCTCTGCTCTCCTTTTTGCTCCACCAACCCCATAAAGTGTGTGTGTGTGTCTGTGACTCATTTGATCTCGACTACACACCTGTAACGTTTCCTGACTGCATCTTGCACCCCTGACATATCACCGCCTGACAAAGTACTATAAACCTCTTCTGTGGGAGTTCCCAGATACAGTATGTGTCTCAAGGCCACACTTTGCCTCGATGACACACGCAGACAGACTCACGAGCTGAAAACAATACGAGCAGCTGGTAAATGCTGATTAGCGGAGCTTCAAGGATGGAACAGGAGTCAGGTGTTAAGCCTAGCTTAGCATAACAACTGTAGGAAAGGGGGAGATAGGTAGCTTGGCTCACGCCTCACTCTCAGACAGAAGGCAAATAAGCGTACTAGCACTTTCAAAAATGTTTAATTATTCCTTTATTATTAATGTGTGAATGTTTGATTCTCTCCTCCAGTTTTTAACTCTTGTCCCGTCATTGCTGCTTTCCTCTCTCTGTCACGTTGTCTTGTCTCTTCTTCTCCTGCTGGTGATGCGGGGGGGGGGGGTGTTCTTGATTAGAACACACACTGCCAAGTCCCCCGACATCGCATCATTGCATTTGATTAGCTCCAACCCCCTGCTCCCTCCTTTATCACTAACAGCACAACGGGAAGCACCACACACGCATGCATGCGCAGATGCACATGCATACATATCGCTTGCAGACTTATCTGAACTCCATGGCTGCCTGCAAACGTGCTCTGGCATATATGAGCACACACACACACATCTGGGCTGCTGGCGGTGCCGTGGCGGCAGGGCGTCAGGTAAAGCCACCATGGCGCCGACAGCTCCCTGTCCCTAATGAAGCATTAATAAAGTGCAGCTTAAAACAGTGGATCAGAGAGACGCAGAGCTCCCCCACCTGCCTTGGCTGTCTGCTGGCTGCCAGGGGGAGAGATGAGAGGGAAGAGGATCACCGTAATCCCCCCCCTCTTCCTGCCCCAATTTACAGTCAGACGTCACCAACCTCCGATATTACAATTCTCAACAGATTCGGTTTAAAATTCTCCTCGAAAGTTCGTTATATCTGCAGCTGGAAGGGAGTCGAGGTCAAGGTGGGTATCCAGGAAACGCCACGGCACATGAATTCACAATCAGGCCCGCGAGTATACTCCGGTCACTACGCGTCCCCGAAGGGCTCACGAAGCAGACGCTCTGATTCAAATGAAGCTAACCTGCTGACTGTAGACATCCCAAGAAGGTGTGTCCGTTCAAATGATGCACGCCTCGGAGCAATTGTTCCGTTAAAAGAGCCAATTAAATGTAACCGGATCATCGACATTTAGCGGTGACGTAAACATACCTGCAGATATGTTACGGGACATTCTTTTAATTGGGCCCCCAGAATGACGAGTGTCCTCCCTCCCCTCGTCATGAGCTTGAGACGTCATCTCCGTTTGTGCTGGAATTGCTTCAGTGTCACTTTGTGTCTTTATCTCTCCCGTCTATCTGTATCCTTATCTGCATTTTTTTTCTTTTTTCTTCCCTCATTATCTTTGCAGTCTAAACCTCGCTGAGCTTTACTCCAGAGAGAGCAACTGATCTAATTGGCAGCGAGGATCATTCTAATTTTGCGAAGCCAGCTTTCTCGGCTCTCTCCTCTCTCTCCTGTTCTCGTGCCACCTTTCACACGATAATAATGAGAAAATATAAGCGCGAACTCCCTGAAGTTTGCTGTGGTGAGTGTGTGTGTGTTTTTTGTTTGTAAACCTATTCTTCTGGGTCTTGTTACACCGATCACATTTCGCGCAGGCAATTTGCCTGCTTGTCTGAGTCTGAGAAAGGGGAGGCTTATCTGCACTAACGCCCCACCCAGGCCGCGCTTCCCCTGTTAGCATTCAGATCAGGAGCCCCCGCCTTTCTATTCTACCTAGCTCCCGTGCTCCTCACTATCGCCCCCACCCCTCCTTCTGCTGTCAACACGCCAGCTTCGCTCGGAGGAGAAGAGGGCTGTGGAGAGAGGAAGCCCGGGCTATTATTTAATGAGATCAAGAAGTGCGAGGACGAAGCTGTTTACTGTCATGAAGCAAACAGGTGATAGGAGATCGCCGGGCTTCTCCCTCATCTTCCTCATCTTCCTCCTCGTCCACGCCTTAATAAGCAGCCATTTTACAGAAACCGCAATCGCTCTGAGAAGAAGCACCGTGTAGCGGAGCAGGTGCATCAAAACAGTACGGCCGAGTCTCCCGGTACTATATTATAAGTTAAACAATCTGTAGTGATTGTGACTTGTGTGTAATTGCTGCTGTGATTCAACTTGACCTTTTACCTGCTCTGGCCGATACAACAAGGTCATTACCGCAGCGCTGGGTTCCAACAGGGGCCATCACTGTGTCATTGTTCGTGTGATTAGACTGAACCTAAAGGGCCACGTGTCACATTGGCTGCCATTAAACCCCCATGCATGGCTCACAATGGGCTTATGATTTCAGCAAGTCTGAAATTCAGCAATCTGCCTCAGTAGAGCTGTAATTTGGCTGCTTTATTTTGAAGTTACCTTTGAAGTGTCTTTGTCATAAATTGGGTCTGGAGTCAGTTCCCGCTGCAGCACAGCACAAATATAAGAAGTCTTCGTTAACGAGTCTCACGCACCAAACCTCAAAAGGACTTGACAGGCGGGAAGAAGAAGTAGGGGGGGGGGGATGTGTCACGAAGACGAGGAAAGCGAGGTGGGGGGTGTATCCTTTGATCAAGAGCTCTCCTCGCAGCGCTCCTGTCTCTTTACACATCTATAATGTAATATATCTCTCCGCACCAGCACTGCATTCCGGTCCCGGCAAAATGAAATGCAAAGCAAGGAATTTATGATTCTATATACGCCCCCTCCCCCCCCCTCTTTAAATTAAATCCGTCCATGTCGGCTGTAACAAAAGAGGGGATAATATCAGACACGGGTAAATATTTATTCTAAAAGTGGCGAGCTTAGGAAATGAGAAGGCTCCCACAGGAGAGCATGTTTGTCCGCGACAGTCATAAATATGCATCACGCAGCCGAGATGACAGCGATTGTAATCTCACGGACGCCTTTTTGTCGAGCACGGTGAAAATCCCCCGTCGGTGGCGAACACCGGCAAAATTAAAAGTTGCACCCTGGCCCATCATTGGAATGAGTCACTCAGCGACAAGTAGCACGCTGTTTAATTAGAGTGGAAACAAAGTCCTCGGGCGAGGAATACCTCTCTCTCTCTCTCTCTCTCTCTCTCTCTCTCTCTCTCTCTCTCTCTTGGTCTCATTTGTGGAAAGGTAAATAGTCAGAGGGTCGGTTTTCAGCCATGTCGATTAAAGCATGCTTGAGCATATCAATAGAGAATGTGTTGTGAATTTAGAGCTCCCGATATCAATTTGTGCTCCGCTGCGAAATGAAACGCAAACTCGTTTGTGTCAAGTAGCTCTTCAAACCCGGAATAACTCCAAAAAGGTGCACCGGGAGCCACTTAAATAGAAAAGCGGCCTGTCATCCAAGGTGCACTCCAGCGTGCGGTAGCAGTGAGTCTCCCGGTCTACACTGGCTGACAGGTGTATTGTTCAATGTGGGAACCCCTCTGTTTTTCTTTGACTAAACCTTGTTTTCATGTCGTCATCCCCCCGCAGCTCTGAAGGACCCCTGCACCGATGTGGCCTGCAGCTACGGCAGCACCTGCGTCCAGTCGACGGACGGCCTGTCGGCAAAATGCATGTGCCCCCTCGGCTGCGAGGGCAAGCGCGAGCAGACGGTGTGCGGCAGCGACGGAGAGGACTACCGCAACGAGTGCGAGCTCCACCAGCACGCCTGCAAGAACGAGAAGAACATACGGGTGCAGTACCAGGGGCCCTGCGGTGAGCTCTCTCCTCGCGTTAACACCGCCCATCACAGTTCCTCAAGACCTTTAGATGTGCTTGGTGATAAATTGAATTAACAGTAAGCGAGGGAAAAGCAGAGCATTTGGATGGATTTGGCCCTGGATGCTCATTTTTGGCATTTCTGCTTGATAGATGACTCTCCCTTCTCCACATTCTCTGCTCCTCTCTCTTTTCTTCCCTGCACTCTGTTTACTACCTCTGGCTTTTGTTGTTTCTCCTTCACATAGCCCACTTACTTACGGCAGGCCTCTGCTAATTCTCATTTTTCATTCAGGTTGCTTCGCTTCACATGCAGGTACTCCTGCGGTGCGAATTGTTGTTTTCTCTAAGTGGGTCTAAGCTGTCGTTTTTCGTCAGGCCCAGCCTTTGCTTTCTTTTGCTTTTTTTTTTATTTATTTTTTTGGCTCATCCTTGTTATCATCAGGCGATAGTTGTTTACTCCCAAGGCGTTCAACTTTTGAGTTTTTTGTGTTTGTTTGTTTTGAGCCAGATGGAGGGGAAAGAATGAAACGCAGGAAAATAAAGCTCTGTCTCTAAACAGCGGGAGCTTCCGGGAGACGGAGCGGAGGAGTGGTGGGGAAAGAGAGATGGATGTGCAGGTCTGCCGGCGGAAGGTTGGCCGAATAAATCCGGCCAGAGTCGGCCAAAGTGACCCGAGTTGCCCCGCCCTCCCTCGGGGGAGGGCCGAGGCTCGGGGGACCGGTCGGCCCTGATGGTCCTCTAAATCTTCCTGCAGCCGTTTCATCTGAAGCTCTGGCTATTTCAGGTTGCTAGCCGCAGCCAGACAAATGAAGTTGATTTATCTGCGCTGCTAGATTTTACAGCAAACAGGCCATTCTTTTTGTAATTACCCTACTTGCTCAGCGGGAGGAGAGCATGGATCCTGGAAGCAGTTCTTCTCAGTTAATGGGAGGTAATGGTCTTTCCCTCAGATAATGGTCTGGCTGGCGGCTGAGGCACTGTGTTATGCAGAGACACTGCCTGCATTACGATAAATCCCCTCCTCGCTCGGTTGCTGGTCTCTGCAAGCCTTTGCATTGTGTTGCTAGAATACAACCTGAGGCCCGGCCAGAGCCGGCCGCGGTCACTCCGCCTCCCAGCCCAGCCGCAGCCAAAGCGCTCTGTCCTTTTTGGTCCCTGTATTGTCGCTCTTTGTATCCCTGCCAGAGGTCTTTTGGAAACCATTTCTCCTTCTCCTCCTCTCTACTCCTTTTCCTGACGATAGTGTGTTTCATCCTCGCCGTGTTTTGAATGACTCGCCGGCAGCTTGGCAGTGATTTGATATGTCACGGGTGCTACATAAATCCTTTGTCTTCCCACATGCTGAAAGCGTGGCGGGCAGGATAAAGCTCCTGTTTCAAGGAGCAAACACCCCCCCCCCCCCCCACGTCCTCCCCGTCCCACGCATCCACAAACCAATTCCATTATGATCACGGACCGATACGGCCGAGCGTGCCAGACCGAACGCTCGCCGCTGGAAGGAGGGAGGTGCCAGGGAGCATATCAAACCGACCGTCACTTCATCCATTTCTTTTTGTCTCAACTTCACATTCGAGGTCCCAGTCCGAGCAGCTCTCAGCTGCTGGACCACTGATAATATCTGTGGAGCAGCATGATGGAGGATCATGTCTCCCCTTCCCTTTTGTTTTGTTTTAGTCTTCTCCTTTCTCCTCTCTGCTGTTCTCTTCTCTCTGGCTTTACTAAACAAACAAAAGTTAATACATCCAACCCATACCCGGATGCTTTTTTGGTCTGAGAAACATTACAGGTCTATCATTGTTTATCTAAAAGCAGGTTCACCAAAGCTCAGTTTTGAGGCAATAAAGCCAGGACACACCGGTTATAGTTTCACGTGTTCCATTTTCTTTTGCCGAGGTGTTGTTGCTGACTTTTCCACAAAGAACTCAAAGATGGCCGACAACTCAGAGATGTTTTTGTGGTTAAAGCTTTCTCGTTCCCCCAATCCCCCAGGCTCTAATTAACATTATATGTTTATTGTTCTTCTCTAAAATTGTTCAACATACTGGGCTGTGCAGCAGTGCGTATTCATGAAAGGCTGTGTCTCCACAGACCCGTGCAAAGACAACGAGAACAGCCTGAACACGATGTGCCGGGTGGAGGCTCTCACCCGCCAGATCCAGATCTATAACCTGCCGGAGTCGTGCAACCCAGGCAACGAGCCTCTGTGTGCCAGCAACGGCCAGACCTACCCCAGCGAGTGCGCCATGGCAGCGACAGGCATGCAGAAAGGCATCAAGCTCAGGAAGATCCACGCGGGACGATGCAGAAGGCCGGGTAAGGGCGGTTAGGGCGAGCTTTTTTGGGCCAAGGCTCCGTGCGCTGCTCGTTGTTTACTGTCCGATCGGCAACTTGAGATGCGAGACTGGAGTTAGAGTTGAGAGACATATAGAGCATGTCGGGATTGTTTCCCAAATAGCTTTAGTTTTCAAACTATTTTTAAACCAATCAAAAGCTAAATCATAGTTAGACGATAGCCGCATTGCATTTCAGCCAATGAGTTCCGGCTGCGTGAACGTGATTGGTCGATACTACTCAGACAAACAAACGCTCCCGATACCAGAATCTTCTCCCGTTACCTACAGATTCTGCATGTGAATTGCAGAATGTTTACGGATTATTATTGTTACTATGGAGAGTTACATGAATATGAACATGTTTTATACGTAAATATATAACGACAGATGAGACCTTTTTGGTTATTTTCAAAAAGGATGTTCAAAAAGAATCAGGGAACTGTGTCAGGGAGTGCACATCCGAAACCTTCCAAGCAGCTTGGCACTCCGACGATGTAATACATTCTCGAAAGCTTTGTTTCCAAATTCCTCACAGCTGAACAGGAATAGTCGGGATGGGTTTTAAAGGGCTCAACGAAGCAAAAACACGGCCCTGAAACATCTGCTTCACATTGTCGCGTATGATTTCATCCTCAAATTTGAACAGGTGTACTGCAGGCGAGCCAGCATTAAGAGCTGACCCGGAACTGTGTTCCGCTGCATACTGTCACACTGCTGGTACAGAGATTAAACAACTCTTCGGTCTCGGGGGTCTGTACTGTATCCACACTACTAGTGGCCTCTTCCAGCCTGATAAGAGCCTCCAGGGCTGTTATCTGTGCTATTAGAACAGGGCTTTAAGCCTTAGTCAACAAAGAGCTGTCAGCTCTTACTGTACATCTGATAGCCATCGGAGGAAATCCAATTTTCCCGCTGTGTTGTCGGCGGGGGCCGCGCAAAGCCGCAGCTGCGTTGGTTTACGGCAGCCATGTGCGGAGGGCCCCCCCGCACATGAACCGAGTCTCCTGACAACACCAAAGACGAGAATAGATCACTACATGACGTCCTTTGGTACAGCCAACAATGGAGGCTGATGCACAGTCCTTTGACATGCCCCGGTTCTCCCCGTTCGCTTGGCTTGACAGGGCCGGTGGAGGAGCACGAGGGCTTTAAATTGCACAAATCCCGGGTCTGACTCTGTGTTTGCGTGTCAGTATGTGTGCGAGCAAGTGGAAGAATGCTTTTTGTCTTTACAATTCTTTTTTTTTAATCCCTCCCCTCTTCTGCTGTGCCCTTTTTTTTCAAATGAAAGAATAATTCAATTTGAAACAGAGATCCATGAAATCATATCCCTAAGCAAATTACAAATTGGTATCTAATGAAAATGGTCATTTTCGACGCGCAACCATGACATTGCACATCCTCGTGGCCCTCTCGCTCAGATACAGCGGCGACGTAATTAAGTGTGGCATGACGGGCTTTTAAAGAAAGGAGAAGAGGGAATTGAATTGCTCTACAAATTTGATCCACTGATCAGGAATGAAATAAATTTGAAGCCTCCAGAACAGAGAGGGCGTGCTTCAAATTGGATTTTCTCACTTCAATGGCAAATTTGCCATTTCACATTACCAGTGTTTCTTTCTTTTTGCCTAATTTCCACAGTCGATTTCTGCTTAGTGAGTCAAAATGTGATGAATATAATAGTGTAGACTCTAACTTGACCTTAAAATAAAATACTTGCGTTTAAGTTCCACAATTGTATTAAAGTTAGCTGGGAACTTTTAACAATTAAGTTAGATTGGATCTCCAGTCAGTTGTATTAACGGCAGCCAATCGCAATGTTGTTGAAATTCATTCAACTTCATAAAAGTTAGGGGTCATTTTCTGAACTGAAATAAAAAATAAACTGATCCTGAGCAGAAAGTAAAACGACTGTTTTTCAATGAAATCTAATATTAGCGCGTTTGCGTCAGCCAGTCCCTTGTGTGCTAAGAGCAATCATTTCTGTCACAATAGCATATTATTCTCCCAGCGTCAAGATAATTCACAGCATAAAGCGTGAAAGATGTTCTGAAGTAAACAAATTAACTCTTCTTTTTTGTTCACCTTGTGTTCTCTGAAATAATGAACACTCGCTGTGAGCAGAAACCAACTCGTTCTTTTGTTGGACCAGCCTTGCATCTGTCAACCTGCAACACGCCGGCTGATCTGTTTGGCTTTTATTGGCTTTAAATTTCAATGCGTTCCAATTATTTAAATGCAATTCAATTGATTTGTAATTCAATTTTCTACAGTTGTGAGCAGTCCCTCAGGTTCTTCTTAGAATGACTACTTATTGTACAACCACTCAATTTACACAACATATAATCATTTTCTGGTGAGCTGTTAAAAACTACTTCTGCAAAAGGCTTAACCTCTGCCGCAGAAAGAAAACCTTTTTATGCTCGCCGCAAGTGGCGTCAGTCCACCCTAACATGTAATTACTGTGTGAAAGAAAAGTGATTTATTTCCCCGCGGTTGGACCCGCGAGCGTCGCACAGCGGGAAGGAGAATCGGTTCGACAACAGATGCATGAAATGTTGTCTTTTGTTTTTACGTGTGCTGACAACTTCTGTTGTCTTTTCCTCTATTGTGATCAGTCCGTCACACTGTTACAAAAGTGGCAGTTGGAAAATGCTCTTTAAAAACATTTAAAAAAAAAGCCTTATCAGTGTTTAGACAGATGGCTGCCAAATTAAAAGGAAAAACTAGAGGAACGCAGTGGAGAACTGGAACGCTAGCAGACGACTGAAGGGTTTGACGAGTCTGGAAATGGGGTTTATGCTTCGGTGAACTCTAAACAGTCCTAAGCAGGATATAGAGACCGTCTCGCTGATCCGACATTAATTCCGTCTCTCTCTCTCTCTCTCTCCCTCTTTTCCTCCAGAGCACTGTCAGGAGGAGTGTCTCTTCAACGCCGTGTGCGTGGTGGAACTGCAGAGCGCCCGCTGCTCTTGCGATCCCATCGAGTGCGACGGCACCTACAAGCCCGTGTGCGGCAAGGACGGCCACACCCACACCAACGACTGCACTCGGCGCAAGGCGGAGTGTCTGAGCAAGGCCCTCATCGCCGTCAAGCACCTGGGGCCCTGTGGTGAGTGGAGCTGAAGGATGGGAGCAAGGGGCTTTTTACGAGGACTAACGCTTCTTTCCTTCTCTATCTTCCAGGCTTACTGTACGTGTGTCTGTACTTTCCTGAAAAGTGTTTGAAATGGTTCGGTGATGCTCTCTGGAGGGGCGGGGAGGGCGGGGGTGTAACTCAAACCGACAGGACTCACGTGTGCCTTCCTTATAAAAAAAAAACGTGCCTTCACTTCTCCACCCGTTCACCTCCCATCCATCTCCTCATCCCTCTCACGCATTATCCCTCCATCCCAAACACACACACACACACAAAATGAAATGCCAGCTCCATCCGCTCTCCGTCTTCTGTGGCGTGCCCCCCCCCCCCCTCTCTTTTGTCTCCTGTGTGTTGCCTTTTCTTGTCTATATATTGAAAAAAAAGCTATTCTTTCTTGTTTCAGTGCGTCACTCAGTCTGTCTGTCTGTCTTTGTCCGTGTGGTCGTCTTCCTGGCTGTCTGCGGGCGGCAGGTGGAAAAGTGGGGTCACCCGGTGGGCGACCTCATCAGGTGGATTCGGATGGGTGAAGCCCCTCCCCTCGCTCCGAAAGGAACCTAACAGGAGGGGTCTTGTACAGCTGTCTTTTTCTCGTCCTCTCACTCCCTTCCGTCTCCTTGTGTCGTGAATGTCCTCTCCTTCTGTTTACCCTCCTGCAAAGATGTGGCCCGTGAGGTTGGAGAAGTCTTCCTCTCTCCCTGCTCGCTGCGCTTTATTTCCTGTCTAACTAAAAATACAAAATGAATTTTAAAAAAGGCTTCTCCTGTTCCCACCTACCTGCCTAACCACCGCTTACCTCTGACTCCTTTCTTTCTGCATGCAGTAGCATGCTAACCTCGCTGCCACCCAAACACTCCCTCTCTCCATCATCTCATAAAAAGCTTGCAACTGCTCGATGAATCCACAAAACTCCGTTTTGGTTTTTTTTTTAAACCTTTTCTGAGCATAAAAGGGTCAGAGTTTGACCGCATTCAGGCGAATCCTTTGGAATCCTTTATTTCTGATGCTTTTAGGTTTAGATTAAGTTAAAAAAGAACTTTAACATTCGGGTGAACCATCTGGTTGGCTGAGAAGGTCAAAAGGCCATATTAATATTCATTGCATGCAACCTGTAAATAACATGAGAATTAAAAGTAAAAGGAGTCACCGGCTCCCTGCACTTAACAATCTCATAGTTGCCATGTGCAGATATTGTAAATACGTTATTTTTACCATTTAAAAATGTGTTTTTCAAGGTATGACACATCCACATAGTCTCTGATTTTAATGCCCCATCTCACGTGAATCTCCTGCTGAATTAGAAGTGTTTCATCCAATGGTAACCCGGATAACCCAGCAGGCGCGATGAGGCTTCACAGCACCTCCATCACCGAACCCGCGTGGCAGACACGTCGTGCTGTTTGGGCCGGAATGAGGCTGTCCACATTTTTTTCCAACATTGTTGTGACAGAGGCCGATAAAAACCAGAGCGATCCGTCCATCCCCGAGGCGTCGGGGGGGTGGAGCTGAATACCAAAGTTATCTCCAGTTGTCAGCATCGGGACGCTTCGGCGCTCATTAGCATTATTTGGCCGTCTGAGCTGAGCATAAATTAAGTAATGGAAAATGGCAGTGCGAGAGCTCTTATGTGTTTTGCTCTGTTTCATTATTTCTGGCAAGTGGTGCCTCAGCTCCCCCCCCTCACTCGTTTAGTTATTTCACTTTCTCTCTCTCTCGCTCCTCATCCTCCCTCCCTCCCCGTGCGCATCGTTTCCGTCGGTGACTGGTCGTATGTTTCTTTAATGCAGTTTTATTGACATTTGCATATTTTTTTCAAAACACAACGCCCCCCCACCACCCTCGATCCAGTTTTAATTAAACATCAAAAGAGGCGAGCGTAGGTGCCCACAGAGACTGTTGGTTTAGTCAGACAGATGATATGCACGAAAAGGGTGTGTACGTGTGTGTGTCCATGCACATGTTAGAACTTTGTCTGTCTGTCTTCTTTCTCTTTCCCCTTGTGTCCTACTACTGTGTTAGTACTTACATATTCCCTCTCACTGCGCAAAAGACTTTTACACATAACACACCCCAGGGAAGCATGCAAAGTGTGTCTCCACCGTCCTCTGAAAAGACCGCCTTGTCGGGGATTCGATCAATAGCCCACTCTGACCGCGCTGCCACGCGCTGTGTGCAGCGTGTTACGCACACTTCCACTGTGCTCGTGTTCTCGAGCGGTGACTGGCGGTGCCAAAGGAACGCCCTGCACGGGGACCGCTGCACGCTCGCGGTGCACGCGCATGCCGATTGGAGGCTTTCAGAAAAAAGTTTCACACATCTGGTAGGAAAAAAAGGGAAGAGTTTGATAAATTATCATTATTTGATAAATAACGATCTCTTTCCCCCCCGTTTTGGCCGAGCGGTGCGTCGGGGGTAGGGTTGATCGATCGCCCTGCCAGCTGTCAAACGGATGAAATTCTCCAGTTCTGCCACCGTCGTAAATCTCTTTTCATGTGGGTGACAGCGCCCTAATGTCAACCCCCCCACCCCCACACAAAGAATGGTCACGCAGCGAACCGCACGCCTCTATAACTCCCCGACTTCTGTCCTCCCACAGAAAACAATTTCATCGATATCTAAAGCTCATCAATTTAGGGGTTGAGAGACAGCACGTGGCGCTGGGCTGATTAACTTACAGCCACGGCGGAGTCACAAATCTTCAAGACGTCCGAGAACACGCGAGCCTGTGAAGGATTCGCTGGAAGCGGATCGGAGTCGAGGAAAGGAGGGCCAATTGGTCTGCAGCCTTGGATTCTGACACAATGTGTGACAGAAAGAAAAGATGTTTGTCATCACCAGAGACGCAGATGATGCGACACGGCCGCTTCCACACACGCTGGACTTTATTTTCGTTATGATGATCGCCTACTTCTCGATAGAGCTTTTACCGTGTGGCTGTTCTCCTAATACACACACACGCAGACAAACTGATTAAAACATAATTTCAACCTGCCTTCCAGCAGAGTCTGGTTAAAAAGCGAGAAATATATATATATCCCATATGATGTCAGCACAGCAGGGCAACAGCACCAACTAAACATGGAAGTGTGCGTGCAGCGTCGGTATTGTTGCAGATATATATTTAGAAGACCAAACAATGGAGGGACATTGGCACCCTGATGTTTTCAAAGGCTTTCATTCTTTCTTATTTGCTTTTTTTTGTCTCCCAAACAACTGATAGGTCAGTTGTTTGTTGGTGCCACCATCACTCCAACTCAATTTTTAACCTGTAAAACGTTTCATCAAGATAAGTTTATCTTCACTATGCGCAAAACAAAACGACTCCGGTGCGCCGTCATAAAGGCTCAGCAACCGACACTTTGATACTTTAAACTGTTGAGCTGTGACATGCTGATGCATTTTGGCAGGAAAGACACAAAGTGGGCCTCATCTCCGCAGCGCGTTCACCAATAATGATCACAATTGCTTAGAAGGCCCTCAACTCCTCATTGTACCTGCGTGCAATGTACTCTGCTTAATGTGCTTTTGCTTGGCCCCTCGATGCACCGCCTGCAGCTTTATGAAAAGATATTTGGAGCTCCCGTGTGAGCAATGCTCCGTTGAAAGACAGGGCTCAACCACTGTGTGTGTGTGTGTGTATGTGTGTGTGTGTGTGTGTGTTAATGGACAGCAGTGTTTCTAGTAAGCTGAAGCTACAAAATGTGAAAGAAACTGAACTGATTAAAGGTTTTTTTAAAACAGCAAAATAAAGCAGTATTTTTATCACATAGACTTCCACTAAGGAGCAAAAAAGTTTTACAAAATAATTTAAAAATATAACTTTACACGAAAAATCTGTGTTTAATGTTAGATGTTACATTTGTAAGATAAAAAAAAAATTGAATCAAAACTTTCATCTTGGCCCAAGTTGTGTCTTTGCTTGCTTCCTGCCCAGATGGTTTTCTTCCCTGCAGTCCCTTTAGGTCTATATTTAGTGCACATTCAGTAGCGCTTTGGAAGCAGGAGTGCGAAGTGGCTCACCACAAACTCCCTGGAGCCGGTTGATGTACTGGCCTCACGTCTGGCATTAGTAGAATGGAAAGTGGAGGGTTTCTAAATTGGTAGTTACGAGGAGAAATCTGTAAAACCGCTGAAACACACACACACACACACACAAAGCGCGAGAGGCAAACTAGGAGTGAACAAATGAAAGAGCTAGTTTTGTGGACAGAAATTCTTTACTCGCAGCTCTTTTGTCAATTTCACAGCCCTGCGTGCGCGCGCGTGTGTGTGTGTGCGAGCGCAGAAAAAGTCACGGAAATGCGAGCGACTTTGCTCGAAATGCGTTGCCTGTCGCCTCCGGAGGTTAGCGCGAAATCACTCAGCGGCAGACACCTCGTCATTGACAAAGCGCTCCGCGAAGCAGGAGGGGAAATTCAGTCACCTTAGGTGTCAAGACTCTGTGCCGAGTATTTGATCATTTGCATGTTTATTTGATTAGCATGTCTACCGGCTGCACTGATTGGACTGAGTTTTAGAGTGTGTAAGTCAGCCTGAGATCACCAGCGCTGTTTTCCCCCCTCATCAAGTTAATTAGAGGAAGTGCCGTGGGAGCCAGATTGACAGCAGCCGGGGGACCGCCGGTCCACTTAATGCGGCCCGCCGGCAGAAATCGCAGGGAAATGTGGGTCAACAGGTGCCAGAAGTGACTGGAGGCGTTGTGCGGGATGTGTTCAACCACACGATTGTCTCAATTCTACAGTTTTCATTTCATTGAGTGTTTCTTCTGAGCCCTCGCGCCGCCGCTGCTCCTCACTTGATTTGGAGATGCAATAAACGTCTAACATTTGTACCCGCGGTGTCTTCGGCGCTCTTCAGTCTGACAAATGCGGCGTTTATGCGTCATCTCACCTCTGATAGATGTGTGTCACAAGATCAGGGATCCCGGCGTGTCTATATCCCCCCCGCGCTGTTTTTTTGCTCGTCTCCATTTTGAAGAGCAGCACGTTACTTGGTTGTAAATGCACAAAGAGGCCCGGATCCCTCCCGCCTGTGATAAGTTGTTCAGTGGTAGACAGACACAGCCCGCAGGTATACCTTTTTCCTGTATACTAATATAGCCTTTCTCTCTGCACCGCCTTTCCCCTCGACTAATAAGATGCATAAATGTTTTTAATGCGAGCGAGGGCAAAGGGAGTCGGATCAAAGCCCCGCAGGTGAAGAAGCACAGGAGGCGGGGCTTGCTTCCTGTCGTCCGTGCCCCCATTGGAGTCCTGTGTTGTGACGGTGATCCTTCCTGCTAGGTGGCTACTGCGAGCGTCACCTGGATTACACTGAGTCACAAACATTAACATATGTATGAGCCGAGCGGAGATGGGAGGAAGCTCTCGCCAAAATAATCTCTCGGTTTTTCACCGACATGTTATTGGGGGGGGTTAACCACACAATTGCAGCCAGCGGTCCTGCCGGAGCTCGCCGCGCCGTCACGGTGACTTAAAGTGGGGTTGTTAAGCTTTAGGAGTCACACCGCGTCCTCCGCCACTTTACCAGTCAGATAACACCACTAAGTGGGCAGTAATGACACTTCGGGGCGGACAGGCAAGCAGATATCAGGACACATTTCCCCCGACGTGGCCGACCAGCGCCTCCTCCGACACAGCGTGACCTCACCTGAAGTAATCCCCTTTCGAGCCCTAAAGCGGTGGCCGTGCCATTAACACGCCACACTAATTAAAATAGTAAAAAAAAAATGACACGGCGAATGTCAGGAGAGGATGCAGACTGAGGTGACACCCAGAATCGTGTCGTGCTAAACATAGCTGAGCGCCCACTAGCAGAGCAGAATCCTTGATTAGAAAGAATTATTCATTTTTTAAAATCATTTTTTTTACTGTCTCTCCTGACTTTTCCCTCTAACGCTCACTGCTCCGGCTCAGCCGCTAAAACAATGTCTCGGCTACCGCGCTCATGTATTTGGCACTACAGATGTTCCCACTCGACTGTCAAGCTAATTTTCCAGTAGAAATAGCTCGCTTTAAACCATGCGACTTTGTTGTTTTTTTATTTTTTTTTTATTCTGGACCCTGTCTGACAGAAACTCTGACACTTGCATGAACAAGATGTATTTAAGTGTCTGGGAGACGACCCCGTGGAGAAAAAAGAGCTGGAACAGGGCTTGTGAACGCCATCCCACAAGCCTTAGTTGTGACAGGCTGCCATTTCAAAGATTCTGCCTGCATCAGAGAGAGGGAGAGAGAGAGGGAGAGAGGGGGAGAGAAAGACAGCTTTTTAACTGTCACAAGATTTTCACACTTGGGGAGTTTTGTCTTGTTTTTTTTTTTTGTTTTTTTTTCTCCTACACCCTCTCCAGTTAATAAACCAGGCAGAAGCTTTGCCCCCCCCCCCCAGAGGAAGAGAATGATTAAAAAATTAGTTTTGGAGGGGAATTTTCTTTCATCTTCTTCTATGTGTGTGACACAAAGAGAATGGGAGACGAAGGCGTTATCGGCGGCTGCAGTCGCATTTTAGGAGCTTGTCCTTGTGGAAGTGGGCTGGTGAACTTTTATGGGGTGGGGGGGCAAGGTTGTACAGCTAAGCTCGGATCACAAGCTTACTGTTCAGCTCGACTGTTACACGTGCTCACGCGCACACAGTAGTTGAAAAGACATCACGGGGTATCAGTTGTTTTTTTGAAGCCGTACCAAGTTAAGCAGCATTGAATAGCTCACTTATTTATGCAGCACCTCCAAAGCTCCTTTGAAACAGCTGCTGCTTGGCATCAAAACACAAGAATCAATAGCGGTTTCCCTCCGTTTAATCTGAAACATTCACTTTCCAAAGTGTCCTTGCTCGAGATCCGGAAAGATTCGTTCATTTACAGCCACGACTTAGTCGGAGAGACATTCGTTTGCTATTTTAATAGCTATACCTCAGTTCCTGTCATCATTTGGAATTCATTTCATCTCAAGATGTTCAGGTGACATCGATCCTTATGCCCCTCCCATCGCTGCAATCGCACTGAAACAAGCTAATTGCCTCCGTCTGTGTTATCAGCTGATCATTTACCCCCAGCATTAGAGGCAGAGTGGAGTGTTTCCGGAGCTGGTAAATGAATCATGGGGCTCCAAGCACGACAGGTCGCCCCCCCCCCCCCCCCCCGTGATGATTCTAATCCCATAATGGTCACGATAATGATGGAGCCATGGGTGGTGTCGTTACAAGGGGCAGTTTCCATGACAGCAACCCCATCAACCCTCTGAGGGGGAGAAAGCAAAATCAAAACCAAAGGTAGACGAGAGAAGGAAGAAGTTTTTGGGTGTGTAATGCTTCTCATCAGAAATGATTTGATGCCCGCGTCGGCTTTTTCCACTAATCTGCAGACACATCACATTTAGCTGAGTGATCCGCCCTTCGTGCGTGACGCTTCCCAAATGAAAATCACCGCCGAGCCCGGCTATCGTCTCTTGCTTACTCTTGATAGCGGAGCGTACGCTCTTCCCACCTTAAGCGTCACATTTGTAACCATCAAGCTGAGCCCTCAGCGCTGACACGCATTGGCACCCTGTGTCCGTACGCACAAGGCCACGGAATATTTTCATTGACACATAAAGCTGTGAGGAATTGATTGAGTTGGGGGGGGGGGGTCTGTGATCAAAGGATTGTTCATAGCGGGTATTCTCTCTTTTCTGATCAAGTCAGATTATATCAGCCCATTCTACACCCATCTGCCACTACCGAGAATCATAGGTGCAAAAATCCAGTGCTCGTTTTGATGGAGTCCTGCTGGAGCTAGTGTGCGAGAGAGGGAGAGACTGAAGCAGGCACCTCTGTGATGTTCACATTTCATATCTGCCTCGGCCCAGGAGCTTGCCTTTTGTGAATTATTAAGCAGAGGGCTCTTTCTTCTCTTCGCCTGTTTCTTTCTCCATTCTTTGCATTTTCTCTCTCTCTCTCTCTCTCTCTCTCTCTCTCTCTCTCTCTCTCTCTTTCTTTCTCTCACACACTCTCTTCCTCTTCTTCTTTTTCTCGCTCCTCCATGTCGGTACAACCAGCTCCGGCTGAAGCAGTGGCACTCTCACTGAGATGGAAATGGCAGCCTTTGAAGGGGCACATTGGGAACGTCAATTAATCCAGCCGTTTACTCCCCTGGGGAAAAAAAAAAAAAAAGGCCTACGTAACCATTGTTCGTGGACTGTTTCATCTCCATTGTGCTCCGGGGGCCATGTCTTTATCCGCTGTCCTCGTGCCACCGGATTCGGCGGACTCTTCAAAGATTCAGGATACACCGGGATAGGGCAAGAAAGGTGAGGAAATAGGAAGCTGAGGAAGCAGAGGTGTCACAGGAGTAGGACTGTATTGCATACCACATCATATCGCCTTTTTTCCTAACACAAAACCTGCAGTTCCCCCATGAAGCTATGCTCTAACTTACCTCCCCGTCACCGATGCCCTGTCCTGCCCCAGACCTCTCTCCAACCTCTACTTTATATTCCTCCCGCTTCCCAATCTCCCAAGTTCAGTATCTCCCTCCCCCCCGCCATCTCTAACTTTGCTCTCTATCTCTTGGGTGGTCGGCCTTCAGATCTCAGCATACCGAGCCCCTGCTTGGAGAAGGTGTGCGATCACGGGGCGGTGTGCGTGGTCAAGAACGACGAGCCGGTGTGCGAGTGCCCCGAGGCCTGCCCGCAGACGTCCGACCCCGTGTGCGGATCCGACGGCCACAGCTACGGCAGCCCCTGCGGGATGCGAGCGTTGGGCTGTGCCCTGCAGAAGGCCATTCACATCCAACACAAAGGGCAATGTGGTGAGTAGCCGCACGCGTGACACTGCACAGCTGCTTCGCTGTGCAGCCATGAACTCAGTATGAAATGTGTGAATTGTAGCTCACAGGTAGGGAAAGATCTCTCCTTGTGAAATATAATCACACTCAAATTAATTAATAGTGCTGCGTTGCCCAGAGGCAACATTTTAATCCACAGACATTAACAATTAACACATATGGAATTATATTCACGGTGACACCCCCGGGGCTTTCCATTCACTTCCAACAAAGTCAAAACAATACTTAATAGATCTTTTTTCTTACCCCTCGTCCATTACTCTTCTTCAGCCCTTCCACACCAACACCAGGAGTCCAATTTGCCTGTTTTGACCTTTAAGTGAAGACGCACTTTACCCCTGATGAAAGAGAATGCGGAGCGTACTTGTCTGTAATTGGCTACATGAGTCACTTGGCTTTGTCTCGCTGTGTCCGAGTATCATTCATTAGTACACCAGCGACAGCGGAGCTTCAAGTGGTGAAAAATGTCTTCAGATCCACAACGCAGGCACACAGCCATACGGGCACATTTTTACAGCTTGGTAAGCCCACTTAGCGAATGCTCTTGATGGCTTAATGCCATCTTGGAAGGCCAATTTTCCCATGGACTCTAATTGGTGATTGAGCGTTCTTCGCTGTCTACCATCAAGCCGTTCGCTTATATCCCCATTAAAGGGGTTTGTTTGGGGAGTTGTTCTTCATCCTTAGCGAAGAAATGTATGCTGTACAGATTGTAAAGCCCCCCGAGGCAAATTGGTGATTTGTGGTATTGGGCTGTATAAATACAAATTTCTAGACTTGACACACTGGACAAAAAGCACAGCGGTTATTAGCCCCTTGGTCGGTTACTTCACTCACTCTGTTTTACTACAGTGGATTTTATTTTTCTGCATATTTTGAAGACCATAACAGTGAAAATGAGTCGGCCTCCGCAGTGCTGTATTTGTGGATGAGCTGAGCAGTTGACTGAATGATCAATACCACTGAAATTCGTCTCACTTTTGCTGCTACAACATTGCACTCTTTCTGTTTTTTCCTGAAACGTGCAGTTTATGGGTCGAGTTTGTTGTTTTGTAAAATGAGCAATGGGTTTCTCTCTGTACTGAGAAGATGACACGGTTAGTTGTTGGAGCGGCTCCGACGCCGCCTCTCTGCCTGCCCGTGTGTTGCATCAGTCATCTTCCCCGCTGCCTCCCAGCCTCCTCCAAATTGAAAACCGACGCGAGGATGTATGCCAACAGGAAATGGAGCGGGAGCAGTGTTTGGTCGGTGGGCAGGCGGGCTGACTCAATTTGGTGCGCCGCACCGCAGGTAGACGGCAGGTCTGCCGGGCCCCCGGGTCCCTCGGCAGTAATGAATAGTCTTTATTTTGAAAAGCGAGGAGGCGAAAGCGAGCTGGCTGAGCGGAGGGCCCTGTCTGTAATCCAGCACTATGGATGGCTCTTGGGTCCCAGAGGAAACAGGCCTGCGTCAGCGCAATGGTGCCATAAAAATGCTGAGGCATCGGCTTGCCAGGCGCGAGCCGGCCGAGGAATGATGGCGATGATAATGTGGGCTATTTCTGGGCTGGGCTGTTTACTGGGCCTCATTCGGCACCATAACAACTGACTGACTTTAGCTATTATCTCACCTAATTATCGCAGCCTATTCCCCCCAGTAATATACTATACATGTTTATGGAGCAGAAAGGGAGAGAGAGGAGGCGAACATATGCTGCCTTCAGGTGCTGGAGGAAGTATCGGATTTAAACGTTGAAGGTTTGAGCATGAGAAAGTGGTGAGAATGTTCAGCGATATCCAGGTTGTTGTTTCACCCCGACACTTATAATGCAGAAGAGAATAAGAACTGACAGCAACTGAGGACATTTATTTATATGCTTGTTTACCGTGTTGTGCTAATAATATATGTGATTTATTGTTTAAATTTTCATCTGCATTTTTGAGTATGTATTCATATGGTGTGGTTTTTTGTTTTTAATAACCCTCAACATTTATTTGTTGTTGTTTTTGTTTACCAGCTATGTTTTGTTATTTCCATCCAAATGCACTTTAATGTGTAAGTTGTCAGATTCATGAATTTCAGACTCAAAATGTAGTGCTAAGTGTGGCAGGTTAAGGTGGCAATAGTTTAAGAGGTAAGAGGTGCCACAATAGAACTAAACTGGGCATGTTTGCTTTACTATGTGTGTGTGTGTGTGTGTGTGTGTGTGTGTGTGTGTGTGTGTGTGTGTGTGTGTGTGTGTGTGTGTGGATTACTGCAGCCTCTCATGGGCCCAGCCATAATTTAATTTCCTTCCCCGCGGGCTGGAGAAATAGCGGTTATCTATATGGCTCAGGTGCAACCCGATAGCGATATGAGTGACATTTGTTATTGTTCGGAGATTTTTCCTCCCCCTGCATTTGAGTGGCGGACAACCTTGTAACGCGGGCTGGGAAAGGTGCACTCGGTTAATAGACCCCCCAGCTGGATATCAGGCGCCCTGGAAAAAGGGTATTTCATACTTTCATACGGCTCTACCCAAACAGATGAGAGCAGAGGCGCCGGAATCATTGAAGAAAAGGAAACAAATTCCCTTCTTGTTTTTCATCCCACAGGTGTTTGAAATGATATACACAGTTGAGTAAGAAATATAGGTCACACCAGCAGCATGGGAGTGGTCGGAGAGAGGCGGTGTAAAGAGGGAAGAGGGAGGGGGAAGTAATAAACGCAGGGAGGGAAGGAGATGGAGGTAAATACGACGAGGAGGCGGCCGAGTTAATAGCGTACCGGCCTGGAAGGCATCGACGGGGGAGTTGTTATCGCCCAGGCATGTTCACAAGCCTTCAAAACACAAACCAGCCTACTTCTTTCTGCTTAATCCTGAGGTAACACTCCACCCAGAAATCCTCCGCCGCAATTCAGGTTGTTTTTCCCCAGCGAGGATATATCAACAAAATGCTGCAAAGCTGGAGGGTCTTTGTTTTTGTTTTCCCCCTCCTCAATGACTCAATCCTCCGTGCTTTCAGGGCCACTTTTTATACCAACCTGCCCCCATTTCTCACTCTCACTTCTTAAAAAAACAAACACTGCCACCAAACGCAGCAAGAGAAGCTGTCACCAGTGCAAGAACAAACACTTTAACAGCTGCCAACGTTAGGTCCAGGGGACTTCAAGGGGACCTTGACTCAATACTAGCAGGTCTCCAGCAAAAGATAAATGTTTGGTTTGAGATGTGGATGAATGGATTACTATCGGCCCAACTCCTCTGATCGGGCAGCCGATCGTGGCTCAAAGCTTGCCCGAGTGTTGCATAGTGTCTCGGCCTCCATCTCCACACGTCACAAGCCGTTCTACGGGCCGGAGGCAGGTCGCATTTTGTGCCGACTTTAAGCTGCAACGGGACATAATGCTTGTGCTTTATATACAGTAGGTATTAGATTTGATTAGACCCGGCATGAGAAGATCTTAAGATATCTTACTTTGATCTTGGATGCGGTTATACCGTGCATTTTCTAGGCTGGAGAGGCTCTTGCATTGGCCGACATGAAAGTGAATTTAAATGAGATGAGAGATCCCAGGTTCTAATGGGCTAATGTCGTGATGCCTAGCCTGCCAGACTTTTGAGCTTAAAGTCTGAACATTTCATGGTTCTGAAGTTGTCTTCCCGAGAAAAAGAAATGGACTATTTTTCACTGAAAACTCATAATTAGTGACGACAGACTTGGAGATTCAGATTGAGACCGAATCTGAGATGACAGAGAGTGGACATCTTAACGTTACCCGGTAGTGGCGACAGTTCTCCCCCTTGCTCCCCGGCTTTGAACTGAAGCTCCCCTCTGTTTTGCGATGCGTGTTGTCTGGAGTATCAGGCAGCGTGGAGAGCCAGGTGCGAGGGGCAGCAGCAGATAAAGAAGCGAGGCTGCTATCAGGACACGCGGCCTGATAAAGGACGACACTCGACACCGCCACTTCCCGATTTATAGCTGCCGCAACCAGAGAGGAGCCGCGACCACAGCCACCCCCATTTTTATATTTTATGTTTATTTATTTTTGTCGCACAAAACCCGAGCCAATATAAAGCCTCGTCATGTTTTTGTGTCAAAACCTCCAGTGCAAACCCACTTACTGTGTCTGGATAGAAGGAGCAACATCGGCTCTCTGACAACACATTATTATTTAGTCTGAGTAAAAGATTATTAGCCTCAAAGTACATAGCCAAAAGTATATATCAGCACCCCGACATTACACTCATATGTAAATGTTTTACACCTCCAAAACCGTGGCCATTAACATGCAGCAATAACAACCTCCAGGTCCTGGAACCTGGCTGCAGGGATTTGCAAACAAGAGGAAGACCGAATGCAAAACGGCCTGTTTTGCATTCGGTGTTGCAATCAATCCCAAAAGTGCTGGATGGCTCCGTGCAGGCCAGCACAGTTCCCCCACACTGCGCTGGGCTTTTCTGCACAGAGGAATTGGCGGTTTCACGGATTGGTCCTGCATGCTCGGCTCATGTCATTATTATGTACTGCTTGGAAATTTGTCATTTTACTAATGTACAACATATAGCTCCTACAGGCAATATGCTGTCTGTGGCCGCATCCAGTTCACAATCAGGGCTCCCAAAAGAGTGGATGGCAGCACTGGATGGAGAGATGAAGGAAGCCAAAGAGCAATAAACAGATTAATAATGTGGATAGGTTCCAGCGGCCAGCCTCACCTCTCTCAATTAGCGCTAAATCAGCAGCGGTTATTAGCCTGCCCCTAATTGAATGTGATAGCGAGCCACGCTAATGCAATTCTCCAGGTGTAATTGGTGTCAGAGGGAAAGCACTACTGCTCTACTACTGCTCGCCCTGCCTGTGTACGCGGCCTCTCGTTCTCCTCCTCATTTGTTTCCAGCCCCCGTGTGACATCAGTCGCTGCCCTGAACACGTCTGATCCTCCGACTAATAAGGAAAGTCTTAAAAGCTCTCTAAGCCTTTTGGGTGTCTCGATGCTGGGTTTTTTTTTGGCGAGAAAAATACAGATATCATCTGCCTGATTCGGTTTGGAAGTGCGGCGGGAAAATAGCCTGTGTATAAGCAGATATGCAACAACCCGACAAAGTGAGAAATCCAACTAGAAAAGTGTGACTTCTCTCACTCTGCTGCTCAGGAGCATCCCCACAGGGATGGCGATGAGCGGTATCTGGCTGTCACTAGATATATACAGCGACGTAGCAATCGGCATTCAGGCCAAAGAGTTCAATTCTTGTCTCATCAGACCGAAGAATCGTTTCCTTCATGCTTTCAGAGTCCCTTTAAGTGTCGATCGGCAAACTCCAGCCCAGGCTGTCGAGTGGCTTTTTCCCTCCGGCGTAGCTTCAGCGCTCTCGTAACGTCCTGACTGATGGAGTGCTGCAGAGATGGTTGTCCTTCTGGCACACTCTCCTGTTTTTGCTCTTGAATTTCCAAAGCTCCTTGTGTCCAGTTATTCAGTCTCAGCTCTAGAAAGTGTCGTTTTTGGTGGCTCTAAACATCCCGCCTCCCCAGATCTGTTTCCCGGTAGAATTGTGTGGAGAGTTTTTCGAGGAATTTCATGGCTTGGTTTTTAGCGCACGCATGCATGTGAACCGTGACACCTTTTGATAGACAGGTGTGTGCCTTTTGGAAAGTATTTCAAATCAGTTCAATCATCCTTCAGGTGGACTCCTATAAAGTTTAAAACCCATTCTACACTCGTATGGAAACTTTGTGCTGCACCACTGCCTTGTTGAGCACTACACCAGCTGTCAGCAACACAGCTTGTCAAGATAAGACAACAACTAATTTTTACCAATTAATTATTTAATGGCTGTTGTTCACACTATGAATATTAATACACAGGAAAATATATGATTACTGCATCTGTAAATAGCACGTTAGCGCTGTCCTTATGCCTCATAGCTCGCTACCGAGGCCATGCAAAATAAACACCTGAAGCACTCGCACTGAGCCTTCGCCCTCCTCTCTTATCTCCATCTAGATGAGGCTTGTGCCAACTGCTCTTTCGGGGCGATCTGCGACGCCCAGAGCGGGCAGTGTGTGTGCGCATCGGAGTGTGTGGACTCCCACCAGGCCGTGTGCGGCAGCGACGGCGACACCTACAACAGCGAGTGTGAGCTGCACGTGCGGGCCTGCACACAACAGATGGACCTCCGAGTGGTCAGCCAGGGAGAGTGCAGTAAGTAATGCATGCATTCGTTCAGTGTGTGTCCATACCGGGCTTTTTGGCACACTCGTGGATCCTGGGTGATCAGATGTTACACGATAAGTGCACGACATTCATAAGTAAAACACAGCCAGATTTACGGAGGTATTTTTCCCTAAATTAAATTTCCAAAATAAAAGTAGAGCCCAGCAGGGACATCATACAGCCGCAGGCAGACAGTTCATATTCTAACAAACTTTGACAGATGGAGAGTCACTCGGGGAGCGAGTATATGTCAGTTTTAAGGGAGGAAGTGGCATGCATGGCAATTAGGAAAAGCCAGGGGAAATCTCATTTAAAGATGCATTCTAAGGTCTGTTGTGAATGAAATACATCAAAACATTGCATTAACATTGCATTAACCCATTGCATTAACCCATTGCACTCTGATTCTAGAAACATGCGGCAACACTGTTTGTGCCTGGGGGGCCCGGTGCGTCCAGAATACATGCGAGTGCCCGCCCTGCTCAGGCGAGGCCTTCTCCCCGGTGTGCGGGAGCGATGGCGCCACCTACAACAACGAGTGTGAACTCCTCACGTCCTCCTGCAAGCAGCAGAGGAGAATTCATGTGGTGAAGTCCGGCAGCTGCGATGAAGGTAGGAAATGGACTTTGAAATGGTGTGATTATGTAAACCAATCGGCCATTAAAATGGTGTAATTATCTTTAGCAACTGACCTGTGGCACAGCATGCAGTCATGTGTGGATTTTAATAATGGTTGCACATGCCACCAGCAGGCTAACACAGCACAGGATGAAGGGAAAGTCATGCTGCGTGTCAGTCAACATAACCTGGAACAGAAATGAATTCTGGGTGATTAAGTTCTCGTGCTCATGCTTTGGCTGTCTTTTTTTTTTTACCTTTCATTTCTCCTGCTACAGTAAATTCTCAAATACTTGCTAGCTTCTTTATTAACCTCACCTGCAGGCAAAATCAGGCTCATATTAGAAGCAACTTTTTATTAGTAATTGAGCCTTTTATATATATATTGTATCATATCTCAGTAAGAAGCCTCCCTGTTTTCTTGTTTGCTTCTTCTCTTATTTTGATGTAGCTGCTTTTAGTCATTTATGGATCTTTCCCCATTCTAACGTCAGTGAAACTTAACAGTTCTTGCACCTTTTAAGACATAAAAAACATTTCCTAGTGGCCTTTTAATGTGAAAGATCTGCAGGAAAGTGTTCAGTTTCCCTCTCAATAGCTGAACACTGAACAAAAGAGTGATTGAAGTATATAGGTGAATGAGAACAGTATTCATAGCATTAATATAAGCTAGCAGCCAACAACTATTGTTGTACTGTATTGTATGTACTGTAATGGAGTAATGTGTTGTAATCCAAGCTTCTCTGTGCTTTGTTGATATAGCCGGGCCGGCCCTGCGTGCCTCCCTGGTTAGCTCACAGCGTTTAACTTTCCCAGAGTTTAACGCAGGAGCCATGACAGAACAAGTAGTTTCGATCTGCTTTTATCAGCGTTGTTTGTTTTGCGCTGGCCTTTATTGGAGAATTCACGGTACACATTTTATCGAGCCCCGCCATCCAATTATGCTTTTAAGTGTGTGACCGACGGCACTTAACGCGAGTGTCGTCGATTTTCCACGCCTGCATACTCTGTCGCGCTGAATAAATGAGATCTAATTCACCGTGCAAAATCATATCTTGATCTGCGCTGACAGGCCGACGCAGGGCATCACGGTCTCTCTCGCTCGGGCCCGTCTCGGGACGACGACTCTGGAGGGAGCGGCACGCCAACCTCTGGTTGTCATGCCCCCCCCCCCCCCCCTCTGTGGCTGGTGGGTCGTCACGGCAAACGCAGTCATCCTCTGACAAGGTGTGAAGGGTAGCAGATTACACCTGCCAACAGGAGGGATGGCTGGAGAGAAGAAAAGAGAGAATAGATGAAGGACAGAGCAAATAGAGATGAGAGGAATCCTCTTCCGTTTTGATTGCTCGCCAGCGGGTTTTTTCTTTTTTTTGTCTTTCTTTCTTTTTTTTGTCACTTCCTACCATTGTCTACCGTAGTGGCCCAGGGCCTCTGAGGCGAATCGTGCCGCCAAAGCTCCTTGTGGTCGATTTAACATCATTCCATTGACTGAGACGAGTGACCTTTTTTGTATGTGGAGCGTGAAGAAATGTGAAACTGTATGCAGACTCGCTCTCACCACACACACACACACACACACACACACACAGACGCTCTGTCCTCTTTCTGTTGGTTGTCTTGTATCAGGCAAAATGGCTGTCTTCTACCTCCCCAAGGGCATTGCTGCGCTTGTGTGTGTTTTTTCATTCTCTTTCTCTCTCATACCGCCTCTGAACATCCCTTTTTTTCAGTTGCTCATTTTGAAACCATCAGGCTTACACAAAAGGATCTTTTTTTCTCTCTCTGTCTCTCTTTTCTCCCTGTCGCTCCATGCCATCCCACCCACTCATGTCCTTCTCTCTGTATTTTGCACTCCTCTCCACCGGAATTGTGCCGCTCAACAAAAGGGGCCCCGATGCTTTCACAGATAGGGGTCGAGGTGGGATTGCCTGCGATCGATAAATTTCACCCTATGGGGTGAAATCTGCAGGCTCTGTCCCCGCTTCCTTTTCAGCCCCCTCAAATCTGACCCAGACCCTCCACAGGAAGTCTGGTGTCATTGTAAAACGATCAAAACCAAGTTGCTCAGTCCCGTCCCCCCACTCGAAATATCTGTGTATTGGCTTCTCTTTGGCTACATACTGTCAAAAGAATCTGTGGTTGATATATTTGTCCCCCTCCTTGATGTACAGGTGGTAGGCTTTGATAGTATATATCGTGTATTAACAGCAGTCTGCCACAATAAATAAGACCTAAGACTAAGTATTTTCCGGCTGTGTTGTGGACAGCGGCAAAGCTCTACATCACCGGTGTGCCCAACCCCTACTCCATACCTCATATCTAAGATAAGCCCGGAGAGGAAGTGAACATGTGATATATTCGCTGACGCAGACCTGACTTAAACACCATCCTCATTAGTCTTGCTGGGGGGGGCGGGAGGGGTCGGCGAGTATAAAAATGGAGGTTGTTTTCTTCCGCCTTTTGTTTAACAGTAATGACAAATGACAGTGTTCCCACTGTTGGCCATACAGGGAAATTCATCACCTGTTTAATTTCACACCCGGGTAGGCCTGGCCTCAGCTTCTTTTGCCGACACTGACAAAGTGGTGACTGAGAGCAGTGCATCACCTGCGGGGGCCCCCGGCCCTTTTTAATTGACTAGACATTTAAGAAACAAGATTATGAGTGCAGCATCAACGCGGCGATGCGAGGCCCACGCCCTGCACATAGAGGATCAATATGCACATATAGGATCAATAAGGCTAAGATATGAAAGGGCATACAGATTAAAAAAAAGACCTCCTCTCTTAAGCATCTCCAAACGCCCCGTCCCGTGGCTCTCCATCCCTCTTTCTGTTTCCAGGAACTTTATTTGGACTAACAACAGCTGTCATGCCCGTCAAACATCAGGCTGTACGTGCGGCTTATGGATGGAGCGAAAGCGGCGAATCGCGCCGTTGTCGTCTTCGATCTTTGCCGCCGCGGTGAGGGAGGGTTTGCTCAGAGTGATAGATGTCCAAGGTGACACTCGCACGGGTCATGCTATCAGAAGGTACCGCAGTGATATCGGTCACTTCCAGGAAGCCACGGATGTAGACACGACGGATCTGCTCGACCAAAACACCTTCTGCTGCTTCTCACACGTCCTCATTTATTAACCCTCTTCTTTTCCTTTCCACTGCCAAATCCTTGTAATGTGTGTTTTTTCCTTTCCTCTCTGTCTTCCTTGGACATTATTCTGATGCTATTCATTTCCTCTCTACTCTCCGCCTTTGAATTCTGTCTTCTTAATGGAGCTCTCTTGGCTAAATAGACTCTGGTTTCTGACATGATTGAGTAAAAAGCAACAGACGGGCAGTGCAGAGAGAATAGCTGATGGAGTCATCTTAGCTGGGGATGTATTAATTGAAAGGTTCATAAGCAGCGCGGGTGGCGGGCACATCAAAGAGCACCAGCTAATTAGGACCCCCCCCTTCGCCCTTCACTTTTATTTATTCCATTCTAATGTCTTACCTCTTTTATTTATTTATCTCGCCTCTGTCAGGGAGGCCTGAGCGGAATATGAATGAACTACTCCTGCATTTCTCTTTCACTGTGTCTCACTGAGCTGGTAGTACAGTACACAGATACACGTAGCTGCCGGCGCCCCAGTTGTTATCGTTCCCTCTTCTGATCCGTTCTGGAGTCAGCCGACACCTCGTTTTTCAGATGACATCTCAGGAACCTTCAGATACCTGCGATAATGGCACCAGGCAGTTGAAAGCCATTAGCCCCGAGCATTAGCCCGTCACAAAATGTTACGTTTAACCGCGACTAGGGTTCACAATCGCTCAGTAGCTCCCCTCAGCAGATTCGAGGATTGTGGGTCGGAGGTTTTGCTGGCTCAAAATGGAGACGGAGCGAGTCCTTAACAAGTCCTGATGTTTGTGGAGGATGTCGGCCTCTCCACATCGACCACTCGAAGCTGTCACAGCCCATTGCTGATGAGCCATGTCAAAAGAACAGCCGAGGCTTTCATCTGCCCCTCCCCTGCACTGTGACCTGCTCCATAATCTACTTTAGAAGATGGGGTTATGCTAAGTGGCACTTCCATCACTACAACATTGATTTCACCATTAGAGGCGATGCATCAACACAGACGGGAAGAAGAAATAACACCTTGGTTATCTGATGTTTATTTTGAGTCGCTGGGATCTTTCAGTTGGACTGCATTCTTTCTTTCTTATATTTGGAATAAACAGATTTGTTTCAAATGAACTTTCTGCCAGCCCACGGGGTGCCTCTCACTCTGTCTGACATTCTCTCTCTCTGCCGCGCCGCTGCTTTCATTCCCTGCTTTCGCTCACGTCGCACCTAATCTCCCTCCGGAGTTCCACCAGAGGTGAAATTTGCAGCTTCAACAGCCGGATCCTCCCCCTGTCTGCCGCCTGCACTCTGCAAAACCCCCCGATTTTTGTTTTCCCAAAAGTGAAACTCATTGCTTACCGTGTGCTAGCGTGTGCGCAACGGTTCATCACTGACAACACTTCTGTTCGAGCAACACAAATCCCCGGTGATTGTTGGACGTGGTCTGGACCAGGAACGCACTTACTTGGATCCAGAGAAGTGCACTTTTAAAAACAAACAAAAGGCCTTCCAGGGTCACAGTTAAAGACAACTTTCTTTAAAGTCTCAGGCGATAATTAGATTTTACTGAACACTTTGCAATTAGTTGTATTCTCATATCAGGAGGCAGGCAACCATAGAGCAGTCCTTGCCACTTATTCTCTCTGCACACTTGGAGGCCAGAGTTAATAATTCGCTCCCCTTTTTGTCTCTGATTTAATTGAAATGAAAGGGATGCCTCGCTGGTGGTGCGGAGATGTTGCGTCTAATTTATTTAGTCAATCTCTTTCCCTCACTACAGTTGGTCATTATCTTGCACTACCAGCAGCGCCTTTGGTTCCCCCTCCCCACCCCCAGTGTGAGGGAAATGTAAATGATCCTCACTTTGTGGTGCTCCTAATGTGTAAATGTAGCCTTAACTTAAAGAGACATGAAAGCAGGACCCTGTCTCCGCCTGATGCACTGATAAAGGGACATCTCCCCCGTGTGTTTGATTGACGATGCTGTGTATTTTGTGGTGTGTTTGCAAACGCAGACTGTGGCTCAGGAGGGTCAGGCTCAGGTGCAGAGAGCTGTGAGCAGGACCGCTGTCGCATGTTCGGAGGCTCGTGGGACGAGGACGCAGAGGACGACCGCTGCGTCTGTGACTTCACCTGCCAAAGTGTGCCTCACAACCCGGTAAGGCCGCCACACGTGTGGCTTTGTCCTTAAAACACATTTAGTGCAATTTGCGTCCGGAACTTCTTTACTCAGCGTCGTAACTCAGACATCGGACATATGAGAGCTGCATCTCCACAGTTCATCAGGGATACATGCACATCATTTAGAAAGCAAAATGTGCAAATATAATAAGTTTTAAAAAATAAGATAAATCCACTGGGTTCACTGGCTCCATTACAAGATTATACTTTATTTTTAAAACACCCAAAGCATCATGGATTGGCAAAAACTTGAGGGAAGAAAAACAAAGACTATTATTACATTTTTGACAATACTCAGGCTCATAATGTCCTTTCAACACTGAATCGCTGACCCTGTGCTGTGCCATCCATATGCAGATATATTTCATGTGTGAAAAACCTTTGTACATACAGGCAAACACTCCAAAACATTTAAAACTGCATAAAATGGTTTTGTTTTGCATAACAAAAAATGGTCCTAGAACATGTATTGTACCATCGGCATGTCAACTGATAACACTTCTGAGTAAATAGGTGACTAAAATGTTACAATTTACTTTCATGAACTGAAAACACAATGGGAAAGGGTTGAAATTGTACGTGACCAGACATCGTATGTAACACTCAACTTTCTGTGATTCCTTTGTAGATTTGTGGCTCAGATGGAAAAAATTACAGCAACGAGTGCCAGCTGAAGAAGGCCAGATGTGAGAAACAAGAGCACTTGTTGATTCAGAATCAGGGAGCCTGTGCAGGTCGGTACATTACACCACTCAGAGTCAATGTCATTACAGTGTGCGCAAGCACGCTCGCCAAGACTCATTGTCATCGACATCCCATCTCTCCACTCATTCCATCCATTGACGGGGTTGCAATAGTCTGTTGTTGGAACACAATTCCGACAGCACTGCTGTTTGTCTCTCCGCACTGTGACCGTTGTAGCCGTAAGAAATGGTGGAGGTCAAGGTTAAATACCATGTGTATATTTATGCTCGGAGAACGTCGGCTCAACACACTCGAGGCCTTTCAGCGAGGCTCTCGTTCATATCTGGAAAACGGAGCGTTCCTCTGGGGCTGGCTGGCGTGCACAGATGAGAATCTCTCTCACGGGCACATGTATGGATCGAGCTGATAGTGGTAATGATGACTTACCCCGCCCCCGGACGTTCTGGACAACACACACCACAAAACCTGTGCTCACAAGCTTGCTTCTTAACCCTCGAGATGCCACTTCCCTCCTCTTGCTAAAATATTAAAAGAAAAACATTCTCTCTGCGTGTAAATAAATGGCATTCATCAGCCAGGATAATTGTCCGATCAGCGGCTAAGTAGCAAAGTTAGCCCTCGTCCTCTCCGTGGCTGTGTTAAATCAAGAGCCTTTTGCTCCGCTGCTAGCGCAGGTCGGGGAGCAGAGCAAAAGGCACTTAGGGGGTTTCATGTGATCATTCCAGTCGGTTTGATTCCCCGTGGGGGTAAAATAGAGGAGGATGGAGAGAGTTGAAGACAGAGTGAGACAGAGGGGGTTCGCCAGTGTTTTCACACATATCCCTACAGATTCTTCCCCTTCCCTAAGCTGGCCTCCTTGGGCACTGACTGTCACACCTCTCTCCCATCCGTGGATAATCAATCATTTTTTGAAGAGGCCCTCTATGGGTGCGAGAGCTCTGGGCTCTCCTCTCCTATTGGCAAATGGGGAAAAACTCCGATCTTGGGGAATTTCACTGCCCTCCACATTAGGTATGTAACGAGAAACTTCATTTGACCTCAACTGTAGAAGCTTATCAAAACATGCCAGCTCCCGCCCGCTGAGCATGAAGGCAACCTTGTGTTTTTGTGGTTCTGCTTTTAAAAACGTTACCTCTTTTGCATACGGTGTCAACAGTGTCATCTGCTGCGTGCACACTGGTAAAGTTTGCCTGTGATGGCATTTCAAACCATCTCTCGTAGCTTCCTAAAAACTCAAATCTGGGTCTGGGATTTCAGTCAAATCCAAAGAAACACTTATTGGTTTGCTAGATGAGCAAACGCGTGCAGATGTGCCCCTGCGAGAATATAAAAGCCTGGCTACAATCACTGCAGCGGAGGAAGCACAGCGGCAGAAATGTGAGGGTAATATTGCACGTCACAGCGAGCTGCATTGTGCAATGGCCACTGAAGAGGAAAAACCCTTGAAGGGTGGAAGAACATATGAAATTAAAAGTTCCCCTTGTCCTAATAGGCTCAGCACAGATAGCCGAATGGAGCGCTGGAAAGAGGCGAGTTAAATGAACTGTGTCCAAAGCCCATCTCTGGAGTGGGAAAGCACTGGAAAAAGAGCGGGCCGAGTCATCACCATTAGGCTGAGGCTCATATCCACACCAGTAACAGTGTGATTTATGGCCCCTGTATCTACAGCCTCCAAACTCTAAATGAGCAACACAAGAAACAGAGAGCGGGAGGTGAATAGAGAGAGACAGAGAAGGAAAAAAAGAAAATGGTGGAGGGGGAAGATTTCTGCTCGCTATCTCTACAACTTTTCTTTTCACCCCAAAGCCTGGAGAGAATTTGAACAATTATATTTCTGCCTTGGCCATTAAACAGACCGCCTTGTTCCTCTCACTGCATGTTTTGTTGCGACTCTTCCGATTTCTGGAGAAGCTCCAGGTTCCGGGAACACATTTGTCCTTTTTTATTTTACATTTTGTTGAATGTGGTTCTTTAGTCAGAGCTGTCGCACTAGTTTGTATACCGGTGCATCCTTAGACAAAGGAGCTCTCCACGCACCGTGCACAGACAGGAACTGCTTGGCACATTCCTTCACATTATGCAGCAGGCTTTCTGTCTCTCTCTTTTTTGGAAGGTTGTAGGGCAGCACTGCAATTCCATAATATTAGACAAGAACAAATGACGAAAACATGCCTCTTCGTAGGTGGTAAATGTCAGCCGCCGCACATTCACCAGCAAACGCCATTGTTTGTTTTCACTGGAGGTAATAGCATCCCCCCCTCCCCCCCCTGATTTTGAGCCATTGTGGAGAAAGTAGCAAATAGAATTGTTATCTTCAAGCCGGCTGCCAGTCTCTCCACCTCTGCCCCTCGAGCCAATCTCATTGTTGGCAAAAAAAAGTTACATGTTGCTCGGAGATTGTGTTCTCTAATCCCCCCCCCCCCCCCACTGCAATGACTTAAATGTTGGTGTTCTTCTTTCTCTCCTTGTGCCATCTCCCGTCTCCCGTCTCCCCTCATTGTTGGTATTATTTTTTTTCCCATCTCATCAGCGATTTCAGCCACATCTCTGCCTGAGCTGACGCCCCCCCAGCACTGCAGTCTGTCCATGTACGGCTGCTGCCAGGACAACATGACGGCGGCCTTAGGAGTCGGACTGGCTGGATGTCCCAGTAAGTCCCCTTCCACGTCCCTGTTGACCCCCGCAACTTCCATGTGATATGAGTTTGTTGTGTGCACGCACAAAAAAAAAAAAGTGAAACTTTAGATACTATCAGGCTATTTCAGCATATGGGACTTACTGTCCTTGACTGCAATTACCGTACCAGAGCTGCAGAGCTGAAAACGTTTCATCTTAATCCGAGGAATAATTATGATAATGTTGCACCATATCAACAGGAAAGATCTCTTCATCCGACGATCTTGACGAACGATAGCACGCAGACGGGGGGGGGGGGGGGGGGGGGGAGAAAATGCCTCATCAAGCCGTTAGCTAGGGGACACAGTATGGATGGAGAAAATGCAGACTTAGAAATAAAGATATACAGAGATTTAGTAAAGAGGAAACTCACCTAAGCACACTTTATCCACCTCTTTATTTGTGGAATAGGGCTTACCCAACGTCTGAGCCCAGTATGAATCTTTGATGCAGAATTTCCGTCATAGTTAGCAGAATTCAGCTGTGGTAGATTATGTGACGATAGGGTATTTCAAAGTGAGAATAAGCACAAACCAGTGTGTGTGTATCAGAGTAGAAGCTGCATCAATGTTGCTCTGTTCTCCTCAGGTACCTGTCAGTGTAATGTCTACGGCTCCTACAAGGGGACGTGCGATCCGGCCACGGGCCAGTGCTCCTGTAAGCCGGGTGTCGGGGGACAGAAGTGCGACCGCTGCGAGCCGGGCTTCTGGAACTTCCGTGGCATCGTGACAGAGAACATGAGCGGCTGCACGCGTAAGGAATCTTCTTCTTTGTGCCTGTGCCGACTGGGGCAAATGCACTTGCGCTTCACTGTTCCATGTGACCGCAGCAGTAGGAGCAGTAATTTGCTGCAGCGCTAGTCTCTGTATTTATGCTGCTTTTATGTTGGTTATGACATCCTTATACGTTCTTTCCGTGAAGGGTCAGTTCAAACTAATTACAAAAAAACAAACATATTTTCTCGGTTACTTCAAGTGGTATCCAGCCTCGCATAGGGTTGTGGTTTTGTTTGGATTGTCGAATAAATTATTACTATTTGTATAGCCCAATAAAGCCTCAAATCAGTTCGCTTCAGAGGATTTTACTATCTTCAAAAAAAAAAGTTTTAAAAGGGGCAAACCTCAGGAAGAACAATAGAGGAGAGATCCCTCTTTTTACTGTTTGGGAGCACTGTGTTCGTCCCAAAACCAATGTCCTGGTTACTCTGGATAATCCATAGATTTCTCTGGGGACAGAGACTACTTTCTAACAAAGGAATAAATAGTCCCTTTTTAAAACTATTGGCTGTGGGAACCCAGCGTAACAGGGAAACCGGTTCTGGAAACCACATCTTTGAACAAAACAAAATCCCCACTTACAGTTTTGGGATGGAGCCATGAACCTTTTGAGACAGATATCTCAAAACCCGGACAAACAAAACCAAATCGACATGGCAAGATACCACTGGAGGTAGATTTAAAAGAGAGATTTCTCACTGAATTGAAAGTAAATAACCAGCTTCTGTCGATAAACTACCTACGTCTGATACATATTCAGCTTAACTATTTGATCGTAGGTTTTGAAGAAAGAAATCCTACTGTTTCCTTTAGTCCTGTCAAAACTGTATTGAACGAAGTGTTTTCATTTGTATTCAAGTGAAGAAGGGGGTCAGGACCCCTTGTTTGTCTTGGTGTAATGCAATATGGTGACCAGCTCGTGTCCCGCCGCTACGGTATCATAGGATACCCTCCCAACACCGCAGAGCATTTTCAGTCAACAGCAGGAAGTGTGCAGGTACATCACCCGTGGCCTGACCTTAACAAGGTTTACCCACAGTAAGCAGACAGCACACTGACTGCACACCGAAACCAGATCCAGCAGGAGAGGAGGCGGGAAAAAAACAGCACATCATTGATTCTAGGAACATGATGCGGTTGCTGTCCTTTCCCTGGGGTTGTTTTCTGGAGTTTCTGTTGCGCACTCCTCCTCTCCGACTGTGGCCCCTAAGGCTGGGTTCACCACCCTCGACTCTTAAGACATGGATGTATCTGACGCAAAGTTCAGAGGCTAAGGTTGCCTCAAACCAACTGTGTACACAATAGAAACCGAGCTATTCTCATCCCTTTTCCTCTCATTGTCTCTAACTGGTACTTGTTTTCTCATCAGTCCTTCTTTTTTTTCATCAGCGTGTAACTGCGACGCCACGGGCTCGGTCCGGGACGACTGCGAGCAGATGTCGGGTCTGTGTTCCTGCAAGACGGGAGTGAAGGGCATGAAGTGCAACGTGTGTCCAGACGGAAGCAAGATGGGCATGAACGGCTGCGACAAAGGTAATACGGGAGAGTACCAAGGCGACCGGTGGAGCGTTGATGAACCACATAAACGGCTCCTCCCCGTCATTCTCAAGTGTTTGTCCGCCGCCTGTCTGATCCGTGAGATCAGCCCCGTCTCTCTCTGTCTGCTCTTCACATCCATCTGGTTTATTGGCACAGGGAGAGAGTGGCTGCAGGGCAGCTCATCCATAGTGATTTGTAAAATACTGGAGTGTACAAATGACACGTTCGCAACACGTCGCCCATTGATATTTTATTTTCTGGGCCGTCACGCTCCATTTTTAGACACTCGCATTTGTATGTTTATACTTCTGCATGAGGACTATTAATTACTTGGATTAATAACTGGAAACAGCCCCAGTGATTGCACAAGCTAAAAAAGCCAGTTGAGGGAAAGGTTAGGTCCCGCTGCGGGGGCCTGCAGCTTCTTGATTAAGATGCACCATCAGATATCGACTGGAAGTCAAGAGCTTAATGAAGCCGGCAGTCCCGGCACAGTGGTGGGGCACACCGCCACACACCCGGCTAGATGAAAAGACAGAGGAGTGGTAGCACATGAAAGTGGGAGCTAAGGGATGGGGGGGGGTACTCTAAGCCTCCGTGATGTTGCAGCAATGCAAAGACCCCACACTCGCAGCCCGGCAGGTGGATGGCTGAGCTCCCCGGCTGCAGCTCATGCAGTGGCAACTTCAAGGCTTCAAACGCTCCTTTGGAGGGCTTCGGGAGAGATCTGTGGAGGGGAAAAGAACAAAACGAGCAAAAATATCCTGAGTGCACATCTTTACACAAGTCTTTTTAATTATGTTTTATACTGTAAGGCAGTTGAGGCAAAATGCTGTGGTCTATGAAAGCATGAATAATTCACACTGTGTGATGCTCAGGTAACGAGACGTTTTTTAAAATCACATTACCGCTGCACGACTGTGGTTGTAAAGACACTAAAAACAGGACAGTCACTTAGAGGAGGAAAACACACCGGGGTAATGGAACCATCTCGCAGCCCTTTCTCCATCTCGACGTGCGAGGCGTCGGGGGTTGTGGCTGCGTCCTGGTCATTAAACCAGGTTTGAAGTCTGAGAGCTGTTTTTTATTCACGCAAACATACGACAGCCAAGTCAATTTTATTGATACAGCCCAATATCAGAAATTACAAACTTGCCTCAGCAGGCTTTAAAATCTGTATCAACACCAGACTTTCATTTGCAGCAGATAAGGACCCCCCCCCCAAAAAAAAAAAAAAAAACTACGTGGAAAAAAAATGGAAGAGCAACTGAGGAGGAATCCCTCTCACAGGACAGACAGACGCGCATCTGTTGTATGTGCAGAATAACCTAATAAATAACTTACAATACAGACAATCTATAAAAGAAAAATGACAAATATCTTGTGAACATATATTATAATGGGACTGTTATAGTAGCGGTGCAATTTGGGGCAGAACCATGGCAACTAGGCACAACCATGATCCAAGGCAACCTGCAAGACGACAGCTGTTATCAACAGCTGGACTGTTGCTCTACTATTAACATACAGTGTATATGAATGTGTTACAGACTCAGAAACACTTCTTTTGGTTTCATTACTCTTAATATTGAATAATGATTTATAGATTTTGAGAAATCAATCTCATTTATATTTTAGTAAACATACGCAGGACGTTCTGTAATTGTGAAAGCTTTAAATATGCATGCAAATGTATCTTTCCAATTTAGATGCACATTTCCGTTGCTATGAGCTGTGTGATTATGGGACCGTACGGAACGTGTAACAGCACAGACCCCCTTTCTTCCCACAGGTCCCGAGGCCCCGGCTTCATGCAACGAGTTAGTGTGCCTCTTCGGAGCTACTTGCATGGAGGAGAACGGCCAAGCCCACTGCGAGTGCCCCCCTCCCGACTGCGATGAGAAAAACAAAACCAAGGTGGGTCTTTCAAACCGTCTGCACTTACAGTAAGGAATAAGAAGTTTTGCGACGGGAAGACATCGTGTCGGTGGCCTGCGGGGAGTTAACGTGTGTTCCCGTCTCCCAACACTCTCCGTCTCTGTCACTGTGGAGCAGGTGTGCGGCTCAGATGGGGTGACCTATGCCGACCAGTGCCAGCTGAGGACCATAGCCTGCAGGCAGGACGAGGACGTCACAGTGCAACACTTTGGACAGTGCACAGGTGAGCCCCGTCGTAGGCACCATGCATCACGCGTCGCACGGTCTGGAACTGGTGTCACCCCCCCCTGCCCTCGATCAAAAGATAATAACCAGTGCCACGGGGCCCCACATTGTCCTCCCTCCCTTCCTCCTTCCTCCCAAAGTAAAGTCACAGCAACGTGTATGCGGAGTTACCTTGACTGATTTTGAGTCTACAAGAAATACATGATATTTTTTTTCTCAAAAGACATATTTCAGGTTCATGGACAAGATCAAACTCGCATGTAAGGAGTTATTTGTCTTAAGGTTCTCTCTCTGAGGATTCTGCATTTTCATTGTTTGTAATACTCTTTCTCAAGCTTATTATTATTTAGTTTTATTTCTATTTAGTACATAGAGTACGGTAAAGTAAGCCCCGTCCTCCCTCTACACGCCGCCAGGTGGGAGCAAATATCAAGTGTGACTCTGGAGAAAAGTTAGAGCAAGAAAGAGAGAGAGAGATGTTGTAGCGTTTTGAAAACAACGGCTCTGTGCTTTGACTGAAGTCTCGCGATCCCACAAGACACCAACGGCACTTCGTTTTTTGCTCTCGCGCCGCTCATTGGGTATGAAGGCGGATGTAGAGCACGGTGTGTGTGTGCTGAGTAAAAGGTAAAAGGTCTTGCCCGCTTGGTCCAGATGCTGATGGACATTGTTTGGGTCGGTGTAACAGGCGCTGGGACGCGCGCCAAAGGCCGTGGGTTTTTCATGTACAGTGAAGTTGTCGCACCGACTGCCAGCTTGCACTCACAACGGGGTTCTAGAGAGACGCCGCCGGCTAAGCTCAGCAGGGGGGGGGGAGAAGACGAGTGCCAGCTGTGTGCTTCTGGCCACGAGCCACTGCCAGGTGCCTCGCATTTTTTGGGGTGGAAAAATGTTCATTCAACCTCTTTGCTCAGTGGGCACAGATCAAATACCGTGTCACCAGCCCTCTTTATCTCCCTTTGAGCACTCTCTTTCAGGCCCAAACTAGGTCATATCCAAAGGGGGGGTTGGGGAGTGGGGGTGCCGGGCTGTTGACACGGTCTGTGTTAAGCTGTGGTTGCAGGTACACGGATAAAGAATCCAAAAATATGCTCAGCCAGTGATCGACAAGGCTTTGATAAGTCCCCGAACATCTGGCACTTGCAAATTCGGTGCCCGTGGGTTACCAGAGGGGGGGGGGTCAAAATCCAGTCTGGTTTCACATTCCTCTGTTGCCTGGCAATAGAGATGCGGGGTTGTGTGTAATTCCTCACCTAGCGTTGCTGCACACAGAAGGCAAGATGCCTCGCAGCGGACTCTCTCTCTCTCTCTCTCTCTCTCTCTCTCTACTCTCTCTCTCTCTCTCTCTCTCTCTCTCTCTCTCTCTCTCTCTCTCTCTATATTGAATCCTCAGGGGAGGAAGAGACAGGCGAGCTCTTGGGCCCCACCAGCAGCCACAGAAGATCTTTTAATTTCTTTTCCCCCAGATGTGGTCGCACTGCGGGTAGCTGCTCCGCCGCCGCCACCGCTGTCGGCTCGGGGGGGGGGGGTTAGATCTCGAGCTCATTTCACGTGTGGCTGGGTGCGAATTAGCATTTGCTCTGCCTCCGCCCCTCGCCGCGGCGCAGCTCTGCCCACCCCCCGCCCCTCCACCCACTGTTTACATGCAGTGCTCCCAGACTCCAGGCCCTCCAAGCACTGGCACGCGGATGCTCGCTGAGCTGCTATGCGACCTCACAAAAGAGCAATGCCAAAAGGGCCTGCATAAATGAGCGACAATTGATCCTTTTCTTTTACATCATTGATCTGTCGCAACTTTTTTACGATACCACAGAGTGCGACTACTGCAGCACAGTCGGGCTCACTAATGGGGCAGACTGGTGAAAGAATCGTGCAAGATGAAGCTCCTTAAAATGTGCTCTGCTTGTGACAAGAAAGAAAAGAAACTGTGATGTTACCCAGCTCTCTGTGAAGTCTAAAAAGCACAGCCACAGAGTGTATAGGGAGGGAGTTTTTCTCGCTCAGCAAAAGATGAGGCCATATCTGAGCAATCAAGCAAAGAAAAAATAATTCTAGAGCTATGTTGTATAAAGCATCAGAGGGAGGGCGTTTGGACCGATGAGCAAATTCTGACACCAGAGGGGGGGGGGGATGGCCACGAGGTTGGCAATGACCTGCCTCTCCCATATGGCGTTATCACCTGTAGGTTTGTGGCAAATTGGCAGCGAATGCCAGCATATGGCATCGGGAGCCCACCGCCCCGCGTGTTAGGGTCTGTTCCTTCACCATCTCCTCGCCGTGTCCTGCCATTTTCTCTCATTACACAATCCCTCATTCTGTTCCCACTACTGTTGGCCTTGCCACACTCTCCCCCCGCTATAGCTTTATTAACCTGCTCTTTTTTTTTTTCCTTTCTCTTATCATTTTCTTCTTGGCTCTTGCGGTTTCCTCGTCTTTCCCCCTTCCGATCTCCTGTATCCAGATTCCTCCTCCTCCTCCTCCTCCTCCTCACTGAGCGCGGCTGACACCTCAAACAATCTTAATAACCGGCTTTCAACAATAACTGCACGGTTGAGACAAGGCGAGATGACAGTGATTATTTTTTTTTCTTTTCCCTCTCTACCATGTGACACAACTGTCCATTGCTCCACTGAGAGTAAAATAAGCACACACACACACACAAGAAACGGGACTGTTAAACCTGATTAAGAGGAGCATCAGCTGAACAGACTGTGCTGTCAGTCCCTCTTTCCTCTTTCAGACGCGTTTCTTTTCTTTCCTTATCCCATGTCACGGAGCTCGCTGCTCCAGATATGCACACACACACACACACGCACACACACACAAACACACATTAGATACTTCCCAGGGAGCGAGCCGCCTGACGCTAAGCTTGGCACCTGACTGACAGGTGTAGCCAAGAGGAAAGGCAACGCATGCCACTGTTCTTGGCGATAGCATCGCTGCTCTGCTGTATATAGAGGGGAGCTATATCTGCCGAGCTCTAAGCTGACCCCCCGAGTGTCTCCCGGGCTTTTTAGGTATCGCATTTCGCACCTTGGTGAGTAATTGCCAATCAAATAGGCGATTATAGCAGTGTAATTAAGTCCTGCACATTATGTTAGGCAAATCCTAATGAGGCGCAAATCTGCAGTATAGGGTTTTTTTTGTGTGTCTTTTTTTAATCTTCTGTTCATTGTCACCCACACACCTATACCTGTGGGATGAACGTCAGTATTGTCATGCCTGCTTGCCTCGGCTCAATCTGAAGTGCTCTCTTAACGTAGCATCTCCCCGCCAACTCTCTTCTCCCCCTCCCCCCTCAGGAGTTTTTGTCCTATTTATCGTTCTTTTATCGCAGCCAGTTTGTCCTTTTGCACCACAGCTTTTTGCATGACGGTCTCTCTGCAGAGAGCCTCTTCTCTCTTCCCTCATTTGGATGGATTTTTAAATAAATGTTTGTGTGTGTGTGTGTGTGTGTGTGCGCGTGCCTGTGTGCATCTGCTGAACAGCGGCGTGTTTGCGGTGGCGTTGACGGATGCTCATGCTCTCCGCGAGCAGCATGCAGCGCTCCGTCTTTGAAGCCGGAGTTAAAGCCAGCTTCTTTTGCCCCATTTCTATCAATCATTCATCACCGTAAGGCACTGGCTGTTGGTGATTAAAGCTTTGCTACTGGAGGGCAGCATTTGAATATGGATGTATAATTCATGTGCATTGGCACATGCACACAAACACATTCCATATGTGTGCCCACACAAGCATTGACACCGACTGGAGTAGTTTAACCCTGTCTGGGCAACATAACTCATCTGCAGGCGAAACCCACTGCAGTGCATACAGCTCTGAATGCAGTGCGTCATCTGTTGGCGTATTCCTGATCCAGTCTGCATATAGATGCACTTTCATTACTTAAGGTCTGTCTGATAAAGATTCTTGACATCCCATCCATTGCGGGTTTTTAATCAGAGGTTGCTTTTACAAACAGGAGTCTGCATATGTGTGTGTGTGTGTGTGTGTGTATGAGTGTGTTCTTTTTAATGTAATTTCATAATGATATTGTTAAGCATCAGGGAGAAGGGTTGGACCATTAAAAAGGACATAATGATTCGGTAAATTCAGAGGTAAAAAGTTATTGTCAACAGTAGGTTGTGATGAGTGGCTTTGTTATGCTTCATTGGCTAATGTATTTATTTCCTTCGGTGTGATGTTCGAGGTTGTAATGGAGTTATGTGAAGCGAAATCAAAACATTTTCATCTTTGCTCAGTCATTCATCCATTCCTTGCTTCCTCCCCTTCCCTCCACCAGAAACCATCTCTGAGCCGGCAGACCGACCCACCCCCAACCCCTCCGCCACCACCCCCGACTCCACCGCCGCCGCCACCATCACCACCCCAGCCCCATTCCACCCAAACATGGTGTGGGCCATCCCGCCTCCGAGGACGGAAGCAGCGGAGACCACCGGGCGGCCCCCGGCCACCTCCCACTTTTCCACCCTCATGCACAACCGAGCAAACCACCGCCACTCCAACCCCATCCTGCCGCAGTCCGCCGCCACCGCCCACTCCCCTCGCAGCCGCCCCGTTCCCTCCAGCGCCGCCGCCAGCTCCTTCGAGGACTCGGGCAGTGGGGAGCCAAGCGGGGACGACCAGACCGAAGAAGAGGAGGAGCAGGAGGAGGAGCAGGAGGAGGAAGCAGGTAGCGGCATCCCAACGGAGGACCGTCGGGCAGAGGAGCCTGTTGGTAAATCACTGCTCTTTCACTTCATTACCCATAATGCTTAGAGGGGTGTGTGGGAGGGGCTTTTTCTTTCTCCCAAGAAGGGGTTGGACAAAGTCATAGTCTCTTCTTAGCTGACATCCCAACACATCCATGCCATCATCTGTTAATTGAAAGCTAACATCAGCACGGGCTTCTTTATCTCTATGCAAATTGTCTTTGAGGACACAAATGTCAAAGCTGGGCATGCGGGGGGAGAGGAGTCTTTGTAAACAGATGTCGTTTGTGTCATTTCCACTCGCACAAGATGTATATCTCAATGTCGGAAAACAACGTATCTGCATGGGTCACCGTTGCTACATCATCCATGCTCTTTCCTCCCATTCCAACGGCGCGCTCTCAACAGCTCGCAAAAACAAACCCAGGCTCTGTAAAATAGACTCTCGGCAGGCCAGATGAAACTGCTGGCCCGCATCTGGGGATCTTTGGAGCCTGACTTGACAGGCCGATGTGACTGGGAGGTTGAGGTGTGTGTGTGCGTGTGTCGAGGCTGCGTATCGTGTCACATGACTAGTCTCAAATCTTTCTCGACATGCCCTCCTGACTGTAACAGCAGGCTGCCACTTTCTGAGGCCTCGTGCTGGGACAAGGGAAAGACTGAGACTTTTCAATCAGACCTTCTTTTTTTCCATTTTTCTGTTTGTTGTTTTCCACCCATCTGTCCACCTCGCCTGACAGCTCGCAGTAACAGGACAGGATTGATGGAACAGCGTGGCCCCGGCGTGCTCTTCCTCGGCTCTTCCTCCTCCTCGTCCTCCCTCTCCCAGAGTCTTAGATTTATTCTCTTGTCAGAGGCTGACCAGAGTGCTCGGTGGCGCGAGAGGCATGTAGCCTGTCTGCCAAGGAGACATGGTGTCTCGTGGCCGTCTGTGTGTTTTGTGTGCGAGTGAATGTGTACCGAAGCATACTCTGTACAGGGCAGATTTCAACATGGATATTTAAATCTACACTAATCTGTGTCTTCATAATTGTGTGTTTGTTTGTTTGTATATGTGTGTTGAGGTCTTATCTTTGTTTTGTGTCTGTGTGTGTGTGCGTGTGTGTGTGTGTGTGTGTGTGTGTTAGTCTTATCTCCCGCTCCTCATGCCACTGAGTTTGTCCAATTCTGAGTGCACATATCACTGTCTGAGTGTATAAATGTGAGCAGGCCAGAGGTGTGCGTTTCTACCTGTTTTTGTATCCGCTCTCTGTTGAAATCTTCTCTTATCTGTGGCCTTGTGTGTGTGTGTGTGTGTGTGTGTCTGTGTATTTATTTGACAGCTCTTATGGCTCCCACTGGAGTCATGCCGCGTCCCCTTGCCAATGTGACCGGCCCTCTTCCCCTTCCCCCCCACCAGCGCTCTCCTCTCTGGCCCAGCATCTGTAAATCTGCAGACTGCACGCCAACAGATGCCCTATAAACCCCCTCCTCCCTCCTCTCGCCTCCTTTGACCGCGAGTCCTTGAGCCGGACGTCCCACGCCTCTGACGTCTTTACGACTTGTTTAGCCCCTAGCTGTTTGCCTCCACGATTATTTCTAATCTCTGTGCGGCCATAAACCGCACCACTTCCACCAAGACACCCCCCCCCCCCACCAACACCATCATTAGCGAGGACGGAGCTTCGCTGCCGTTGCACGCTGTCATCCTTCAAAGGGAGAAAGCCCAGCCACTTTAATGTCTTTTATGTCCCGAGATAGCCAGATATACAGGGACTGTAACACAAACACGACTGTATGGTTTTTTTTTTTTCTGTTCTTCTGGGAAGCCTTAAAGGCAAGTGCTAGCCAATCGACAGTGAGCTGTTATCATATCCCCTCATCATATAAAGTGCTCTGTGTGTGACACGACTAGCAACAGTGCCCATTATGTGTTCTCTGCCTGACAAAATGAGTTCCAGGTGTAAAATCAATTCCCATGAAAATGCCATATAATCGCTCCCGACAGATGCCTCTATTAGCGTCCAATCACAGGTCAGCAGACTGAAAACTCACGGCCATCTGCCGAGGCGAGAGCCAGTTGTGAGAAAACAACCGATCTTTACCTCAGCAACACGGCCGATCGCCAGAGTCTAAACAAGTCTCTCTCCTCTGGCTCTCAATGATATATGCTGGCTTGAATTTATGCATTTTCTAAAGCTTCATGAATTATTATGATGTCCTATGTATCTCCCCCAGATCCCACGCTGGCATCCACCACTGTACCCACGGCCGAGGACAGGTCGTCCTGTGACAACACGGAGTTTGGCTGCTGCCCCAATGGCAAGACACCGTCCAGCACTCCAGAGGGCGCCAACTGCCCCTGTAAGTCCAGAAGCCTCTTCAGAGAGCACTTTCTCTGCCTTTAATATTTCCTCTATATCACCCTGTTCTCCCTCCTCTGTGTGTCTGCCTCCTGTTTAGCAGGTACTCTATTATTAGAGATGATGTCCTGTTGTCATTTCATGTTCCTGGGGTTCGCCATCCACGTCCTAAGATTACAGTAAAACCGCTGCAGCACTTCCGGTTCGCTTTTTGACAATAACGCTTTCTTTCTGAGAGCGAAATGAGAGGTTCAGTACCACTTTCATGCCCGTGTGTTAAGCATGGAGCTGGAGCCGGGAGAGGGTTAGCCTAGCTTAGCATAAAGGCTGGAACCAGAGGGAAACGGCTGGTGTTATTAACACCTCGTCTTTATAGTTTTAGCGAAAGTTATTTGCATTTTCCTAGCGCTTTCGCATATTAACATTCACCCTCTTTGTCTCGACAAAGGGAGCGTTCTGCACCACAAATTGTTGAGCACGTTTATGTTGTAGGGATGAACTTTTAGCTTAGCTTCGTAGCTTTTCCAACTCATGGAACGAAATCCCAGAATTCCCACTTTGACATTCTGTTGCTCTTAGTGTTTAGAGCTGACAGCTCATGTGAATAATCAACTGTTTTTATTATCACTGCGCAGAATGCTATCTTTGTTCTTCTTACGTCTTTTCTCCTATTCATAACCGCCATTTTTTTTTTTGGATGCATTGAGAATCAACACGATATTTTGAATGTTTACTTCAGGAATAGTGATATTGTGCCATCTGCCTTGAACAACCAGATGAACAGGTGCTATTTTTTTTCCGCTGCGATGCTTTCATGAATCACCACCCTCATATGTAAATGATCATATTGGCAGGTGGCAGGAAATAAAAAAAAAAAAAACTGGAATCCGTGGTTATGAATTTGACGACACTGACTCTAATATTAGTCGTACCCTGAGTCATCGTCATATTTTAGGGCCCATGTGCCTCGGTTTATGAAAAACCATCAGTGTCTCTATTCCTTCACTATTTAATCTCCCCACACACACACACACAACTTCTTCTCTTTATCATTTGGTAGCTCCCCCTTGAACTATATCTCTCTCTCTCCCCTCAACTCAGTCAATCTCACTCCAGTCTTGCATCAGCTCGTTTCTCTCTGGAGTTGAGCAGCGAGAGAGCCGAGAGACTACCAGAGGCCGACGAGCGCTGTTGTACCAATCAGCGCCTTCTGCCAGACTCCGTTCATAAAGATAAAGGGCTTCTTTCTCCCATATGCTCCTCGATCCCCCCCCCCCCCCCCCCTCCCCATCCCACCGTTGTAATCTGCCCTCTATTTGTCCCTCCTAAATCCCTCCTATTTGAAAGGAGGGATTCTTCTCGGCACCAGGCCATGACTTGAAAGAGCTGAGGCCACAAATTAGCGCGCAGAGTTGCATTTCTGGCCCGTCGAATGTCCCAAATCCTTCCGATAAACCAGACGAGTTCGGCAGCGCGCAATCCATAGATGCGAAGATGCGAGGCCACCTTTTGCCTTCCACAGACCGCCTGCCTGTTTGTTTGTTTCACGGAGTTAACAACCAAACAGAAGTGAAACACGGAACGCCACGTCTGTTGAGGTTGGATTTGATGTAATTTGGCCCCAAAGCCAGACGACAGAATCACGTGCTGTACGCGCACGCCCGTGACAGCTTTTGGCTGTAAGACAACGGTTGTAACAAATCCACTAAAGCCTGTAAATATTTATCACAGCCAACAATGGTGGCACACCGCCGATCAATACTTCATTCAGCTCAAGTGTTACCAATAAAAGCAGGCAGAGGCGATGGGCTGATCGATACGCCCCGATCTTTTTTTTTTTTTTTCTCCTTTTTGCTCATTAGAAGTGAAATGACACGTCCCTCGCACAACAATATCAATCGTCCGCCATCTCACTGCACCGTCCGATGTATTGACGTGCACCCGGCGGTCTCAAAACGCAAAAGGACTAATTTTCGGCTGTACCAATCTTCACATTTTATTTGAAACATCAAACGGTGAAGCGGCTCAAGGTTGAGCTCGGGGCCACACGTCCACTCGCTCATGGAGATCATTCTGGGTTCATTTGTTCAGGTATTGAGGTAGCCTCCTCTGAGGTCTCTGTAGGCTTCAGTGCAACACTGGTCCCTGAGTCTGATCAAATCTCTGCAGGTCCTCCATATGTCACATTTAAACGAGGCAGCGGCATCCATACGACGTCAAAGATAATGACCAGCAAATGCTCATGTGGAAGTTAATAACACGCAAAGCTCCAGCGACTGTAAACTCTTCCATTTGCCAGTGAAAGTCTGACAAATCCATTACACTTTACAGTTCACTAGCATCTGATAAGTCAAATAGCTCTGTCCCTCCTTTCATCCCTCTCTTTCTTTCTCTCGTTACGAGAAAAATCGGAAAATCCCCCTCTCTGATGTTTGTCTTCGTAGCAGATTAAAAGTCAGATCACTCCTCCTCCCCCCCTCTCTTATCGGCTAAACCTCGCCCATTTGCCTCGTTTTTTATGGCCACCGCCGCCGCATGTGAATCGATGTGTGCTGCCCCCTGAAAGCACTGTAAAGACCAGAGAGGGGGGGGGACCACGAGTGGGGCGGGTGCCTGTCTGCAGTCCTCTTCCTGCAATTTTTTACCAGGCTGTGCCAGTCACCGATCTGGCGGCATTAAGGAGACAATTACGGCTATCTTTCACGATAATCATACAAGTGCTCTTCCCGTCCCCCCCCCCTCGCGTTGCTCAGGCAGGGGCAGCCGTGATTGATTTGGGCAATTTGTTCTGCTGATTACGAGCGGCGTGGCATCAGTGCCTCGCACGCTCCTCCGTTCTCCACCTCGCACACGCACACAAATCCCCTCCGCTTTCAGCTTTATTTCAAGCTCCCATCTCTCTGAAAGCTGTACAGGAAAAAAAACGTATAGAGCTGATAAATGTTGGACAACATAACCCCCAAGGTCGCACAGGGAGGCTCACTCTTTGCTGAAGAAGGCACTTTTGAGAGTGCCTGTGTTGTTTTTCCTTCATGTATTTGTGTGTCTGTCTAACTTGTTGTCTTTTTACCCAGCCCTCCATGCTTCGGCCAGCTTTTGGGATGAGTCTCAGTCTGGTAAAACTGGCCCATGTTTCCACCTTCCCTTCCCTTTGCTTCTTCGTTCCTTCCTTCCTTCCTTCTCTCATGTCTCACAGTCCACCTCCTCCACCACCACAACCTCCACCCAAAACTCCAGACCCTCTTCAAACCCCCCACGCAATCAGCAACAAACTCACTAACCTCCCCTCGTCAAACACACACAAACACACAATCCATCACTAACCCGAAACTGGCACTACCCCGAAAAACGAGCACCGTGTGAGGGCATCGGGAACCGCGTGATAGACGAAGGTTTGAGCGTTGGTGTTTCTGTGTCACATCCTCTTTCCTCGCCTCCTCTCCTTCCAGCCACCATGAAGTTCAGCGGTTTCCTGCACTTGGACCAAGTGGAGGGCCAGGAGATTTTCTACACCCGCGAGATGGAGGACCCCAAGTCTGAGCTGTTCGGAGAGACGGCCCGCAGCATAGAGAGTGCTGTAAGTGCATTCAAGTAGCCTTAGTGATATTTGTTGGCTACATCTGCATCTAAAGACGTTGTTTTTCCCAAATGAACTTGCATTTTGTTGTTAAAATGAGACTCTGACTTGATTTAATACGCTGAGAGGGTTTACTTGGTCTGGCGTGACCAGTAGCTTATGGTCCCATTTCACTTGCTTTCATCCAAGATCCCGTAATGACGATGTCTTTAAAGCTGCACTTATCAATGCTTTTGCACTTTATCGATGGATCGAATGACTACGTAAAGTGAAAGGTGTCTCTTGTGAGGAGCCAACAGAGAACACAGATCTCCGCCAGTTCTACTGAGTCATTTTAGCCTCTTTTAGTTTGTTTAGATTGTTCAATTAACAGCGCTGTAAAGCAACTGACCCAAGTGACGATTGCCACCTCTGCACACAGTGGAGACCGTCTAGCTTTCAATCTTGCATTTTTCCCGAGAATCTTCACGGCGAGAGTGAAGTCCCAAGCCTCTGGAACAACATTCAAAGCGTCTCGAGACCCTAAAGCCCTTCACCTAGAGCCAGACTAATCAAACGTTGAGCTCTGGCAGGCAGGCAGGTTTCATTGCAAGGTTTTAGAGACTTGACACCCCTGAAGCTGCTGAGTAATATTCTGTCACACTGAGCTGGAGTGCTTTCTCTGGACGGAGATCTGATAGAAAAATAACAATGATAAAAAAATATATATATTATTATAGCATACACATCATATCAGCGGGAGACAACATAGCCTGGCTGATACTTGATTTTTAATAAAAGGGGAGTATTGGCAAACTGAATATAGTGTTTGAATTCCATTTTCTTTTACCCGGTTATCCTAGCAAAACAAGACTCTTCACCAGATAGTGTGTGTGTGTGTGTGTGTGTGTGTGTGTGTGTGTGTGTGTGTGTGTCAAACTACGAATTTCCTCACATATTTTGCTGACTGATTCAGGATTTCCACATAATTTGGCAGACTCTTTTAACTTCAGGCACAGCATAAAAGCTTTAGGGCTGAGTAAGCACAGAACCTCCACCAGGCTTCCAGAACTCTTCAAGTATATTAAGACAACTCTAAAAAATAAAAATAGCTAACAGCTCTCTGCAGACTCGCGCAAAGACTAATTTGTCAATCGCCTCGCCAAGCACTTCAGAACGCAGCATCTCATGTGAGATTAATTAAGATGTTACAGATATTTGAAAAATCAAGCCTTTACTCCGGATATGAGTCTCGTGGGTTCGGATGGCCAAGATGCCGGTCACTGTTAGCCGAGGCCGAGGCCGAGGCGGGCATAGAGCATGTACACGGTTCAGCCTGCTCGAAATCTGCTTTCTCGGTTAAGCTCAGACCTTTGAACAAATGCCTCTGTTGTCAAGCCAGGGCCTCGCTCCTCTGATGAAATGGGGATGTGTGTGTGTGTGCGTGTACCCGCGTTTGTGTCTGTATACACAGTACACATCTACCAGCTGTTGAATCGGTGTCACTAGCCCCCACTGGGACCTAATCTACTACCTCACAGCGATTTTTGAGTGTGTGTGTGTGTGTGTGTGTGTGTGTGTGTGTGTGTGTGTGTGTG